AGAGCGTCATTCACGCTTTAGTCTTCGTTTGTTCGACTGACAGCGAAGCAAGCAAAATTAGACAGTACTGCAATGACATTACAATTTAAATTCAACGTTTTAGCTTTTTCATATTCCTTTACATGTCACTACGTTTAAATAGGTTGACTTGGGACATTTTTTCGTGGTTTTTGTATTAGACCCGTCGTCCATTTATTTGTAAGTCAACGACTAAATGTGACCAAGTTCTGCTGGCCCGATTTTTTTCATCCCATACAATGAATGAAATGATCCTTATATGAAACTGAGTTGATCAGAACTAAACAAAATTTTAATCATAAACATGAAATGTTAATAGTATGTACAGAATTTTAAATGTAACAAAAACAATAAACACGAAAATAACTCTAGTACATTATGAAATATCACGAAATAGACAATATGACATTTGAAAAGGAATAAATTCTTAATCTTAAAAGTTTGTTTAAAGTTAGCTATTGGCAAAAACCGCACGGACTTTTTAGCAAACCCATTATTTCGTGTGATATACATAAAGTAAATATAAACAATGTGAAATTGTGCTACAGGTTACGTAGTTGCATAATTGGTTGTCTATCACTTAAGTAAATAAATATAATATATACATGTTAATAAATGAGGTTATCACTTACCTAACATTCTTGTCCTGGTACAATGACCTACAGCTGCTCTTGAACTTCATCAAGAAGACACCATTATGATGTTTAGGAGCGGATTTATATTATTCTATAGCTCGGAGCTCGCTCTTTTTTATAATATCAAGTGATTGGACGAAAAGGTTGTGCACCTAATACTGTTGCAGTGTCACTCAGAGCTTCAAATCTCAAAGATCTGAAGGAGACTACCACTGCGCTTGTCACCCTGAGACATAAGTTGACAAGTCCCACGTGCGTGTAATTCCGCCAGCACCCTTAAAACTGGAACGCAGTAATGCTCACAATTTACTGCTTGGCGACAGAAATAGGTAAGGTGGCAGAACTTCTCTGGATGAACTCTTTCATAAGGAGTTATAACACAACCGCAGTGTCCTGTGACAATGTCCGAACATAGCTTCCGTCTTAAACAGTTCTTGTATCGCACTACGGATGTATTACGTTCATTACGCGGGTTTGTTAAATGACACTTAGTTGTCTTGGTAAGGCCTAAGTCCGACACAGTGACCCGCGTTGATAAGATCGGAAGGACGAGATCGCGTGAGATACACTCGGGCACGTCTTAGCGGCACGATCCTGCGTATGCTGCGTCGTTATGTTAATTTTAAGGACAACTCACGTGCCCCACGCATCTCCTCAACTTAGGCCCTCGTCTAGACCGCTGCTATACTATACACGATAGTGTCGCGCGGGATGCACGGGCGTTCATAGCGTTCGGTCACATGCTACCCAGGGTAGGCGAACGTGTTCATCCCTACAGCTAACTATATGCCCCGGCGATTTCCACACCCAGTCTGGGCTTGGCCCAGACACCCTTCCTACCCTGATCTTATCGGAGTGCCCTCCCTATCTCTCGGATTAGTAAATAATTATTTTTCTGTTTAAACCTTTTGTTTATTTTTCTGTTTGGCCCAATTGTTGACTGGTACAGAATCCCCTATGGCATTAAGTCCGCCATTTGTACATTAATGTATTGTACAAAAAGATTAAATAAATAAATAAATAAATAGGGACAACTTGTTACGGACAGCCGAGATTTGTTTAGCCGGTCAAGGCAAAGGAGACTAAAACTCGCGAGATAATTTACGCGCTCTGATAGGTCATGAGCGCCCGCGGTGAATTGATTAGACAGGTGCGGTGTGGAAGACACTACCGTGCCTATATAACAGTACAAATCTTTCTAGTTTCCAAAAAGTTTGAAAGTTTGTAAGACAGTTTACAGTAAGAATTTAAGACAATCAAGATTGTTCGATCCATATCTTAAGTTTCAAGTGTATACGGAGTGGTGTATACAGTCCACTTTTCAAGATTCAATACAATGAGAAGATTAGAACAAGTTTTATTGAAGGACCGAACAAAAACTTGTCACATTGTTACATAATGTTAATTAGGTACCAAAAATGCACAATGGAACCGCGCACTACAACCACGCCGTGTCTCTTATTAGAAATTAAATCAATACCTACGAAGTACAAATGAAATATAAAAGATAATCAGTAGCAAAACTATTTCATTTCAATCTTAACATAAGACGAAGTTTTGATCCTTGTTTCATTATGGGTTTTCTAAATTACGTGTGGCGAAAACTTACCCCTACGAAGCGGTTAGAAATGACCAGCGGAAAATTCGAACTGGTTTTTTTCGATTCTATTTATCGAGCTATGTATTTGACAGGTATTTGTTGAAGTTTTATTTTGATATTTATAAGTATAAACTGCCTTCCATAGTTTGTGCCATTAACCACGATCCTGTGCTAATCTCCGCCATCTACGGCTCGCAACTTTAAGGCTGTCATTCGTCCACATCTCCATCTCGCTACAGAACGTCTCACGTTTCTACAACAATTTCTTGGGTACCATTCGGTTATCACTTTACTGGGTCTGTCTTCACCACGTTTCGCAATATGTCCTGCCCAGCTACATTTAAAGTTTGTTATCCGATCTCCTATGACCTGTATCTTAGATTTTTTTTATAATATCAAGTAACGGGACGAACAAGTCGTGCGCCTGATAATAAGCCCTGCCCCTGCGCCCGTCACCCTGGACGTAAATTGCCAAGTCCCATGTGCTTGTAATTTCACCAGCTCCCTTACCCTTTAAAACTGGATTTCAGTAATGCTGACATTACTGTTTGGCGGCAAAAACATGTAAGGTTATTCTTCGGATTTCGAAATTTGGAATTCGATCTGTATGTTCGATGCTGCGCATGATTCGCTTCATGGCAGTGGCGGATTTACAGTCTTGGCCGCCCTAGACCTCAGGCCATGTAGTGAGAAACCCAGTGAACATGTCTGACTTTTGTCTCCACTGAAATCTGCCGCCCCTAGGACGCTGCCGCCCCTAGACCGCGGCCTATACGGCCTATTTATAAATCCAGGACTGCTTCATGGCTTTGTGCAACTTTCATTCTGTACACAGCATTCTGTCCGTAACAGGCTTTTTAATTTTTTTAATTAAAAATAAGTGTTCATTTGTCCACCATCTGACGATGAAGTCGACACCCAAGTTTTAATGATGAAGTCGAAACCTTATTCATTCTCGCCTTGAAAAGATCCAAGTTATAGCGTTCAGGGAATAAGTCTGCAGGCAGGGAATTCCATTCCATGGCTGTTCGTCATATAAATGCGGAAGCGTAACGCTTCATATATATGCTTAGAATGTCCACAAAATAGGGGCGAAACCCAAAGCCTACGTCTAGTCTGCTAATGATGGCAAGGAGAAGAAGGTATCAAATCTTGAAATTACGCACCTTTTTTGAACTTACTCTCTGTCACTGTCGATTTTATGCGACACAATATAGAATTGATTTTAATTGTAGTAATAATTAATATGGCATTCCTACCGGGATTTTTTCACAAATTGATATACAGTTGTTCGTTAATTACAAAATAAATACTTCGAAATGTGTTACCACAAAGATGTTTCATTTAAAGAAGAGCCGGATAAGAATAATTACTTATTGATTAATTAATACATACAGTTAAAATACATTTCAATAATATTTCAATTATGTTTATTAATATTATACAACTGTTTGATGGCTAATAACATCTAGTGAACCGTGAACCGTGCCAGAAAAGACAAATATTCGCGACTTAGATTTAAAAAAAAGATTAATACAGGTTTTTACCACGATGTGATTTCTTTTTATTTTCTCGATATATTTGAAACCTGTAATTAGTGATAATCATGTAGCGAATAACCACGAAAGCCTCAAAATCTATATTACATAAGAAACAATACTTTGTTTTCCAATATTATAAAAATGGTTTACAGAATTACCTTTTCTTAAAAGGTTTTACAAGAATTTAATATAGATTCAGGCGTCAGATTGTGTAAATGTATATTAATAAAAAAGCAAAAAACCACCTTGCTACATCGCAAACCCTGAGTGAACGTTAAATTGTTGCAAAATAGCATTGATTTTTTTTCCAGTAGATAAATAAAAAAATATCTGCTTGAGAAAATATCTAACATGTCTATCTATTTCCACGTTACTTCGTAATTCGTAAGAAGTGGTACGTCTTAAAAAAACTATCGTATCCCACTTTATTGCGAGATAGGCATTTGACTGTGTTGTACACTCGATTTTGCTCAAACAACTTCTAATGGCTTAGTATAAAAGTGTTGTTCATCCGACATAAAGCACTGTTTGTGCATGACTAATATAAATAATTATTTAATCGGCCCATATTACGTACCATTGGTATAATAAAGCCCCATGTCAAAAATGTTTATAAAGTAATAAAAATAATACAAAGTACATGAAACAAATTTCACAAATCTCCAATTTAAACTTAAGAATTTATAGACTAATTTTGATCATAGAATCTTTAAACCTGTTTTTGTTGAAAAGTTGGCATTTTGCAGATGTGGCCTTATTACACTAAGAGTGCGATTATATGTCCACAATGTCGATAAACAATTCCTTTACAATTTTGACTTTCGAATATTAGTTAATTAATTGACAAGTTAAGTTATTTCTTATATTATTCGGCGAACCCTTTGCAATCATATTGAAAGAAATCCGACAATTTTGAACATAACAGTTAATATGAGTTATGATTACGATCACTAGATGGTATATGATAGAACCTTTTGATTACATTCGCTACGCAGATCACTATTATAAAGAGTTTATTTTGAAAAATGCTTTCTGTAAACATAAATAATTTCATAATAGCATATTAAAAAGCCTTTTAGTGAGGTAATGCCGCCAATAATACTCAACGCAATAAAGCTTACATTCGAAATCTGGTCCTCCTTGGAATCAAAATTTATCTAAAAAGTTTGGTTTTCATCTAGATGTATATACTTCAATTAAGGCCCGTATTGCAAATATATTTCTAATAAGTCCTGTAATTGAGTTTTCCAAAGTGTAATTCTTCTTAGAGCACTGACTCAAATATCTGAAATAAGTATTGGTTGTCACGAATTTTCGTAATTTACGGAATTTCTTAGTTCTAAAGCAGTTGCCAGTCTGGGTTTATTTAGACTATAATACTCCACTGTTTATCTCCAGAATTTCTCCTGACAAACTGTTCACAAATATTTAACTTAGTAATTCTCAGAAAATGTAAAAGGGTAAAGTTAATTGCTTCAGGTATCACGAGATAAACCCAACTTCATTAGAAGTTTTAACTTGTTTGCAGGTCTGTCCCAATGCGATAGAGGATTTTACTTGATTTACAGATACGCAATCAAGTGTATGATATTTATATTTGTCCTGAGCGAGGTGTGGTTTTTTGCTGTTGCGAAGAATTCGAAGGACAGAATTGATAACATAAACGTTACACTGCAACATTTGTTTACGTACTACCGGTATTGGACGATGGTAAGATTATTACAGTGCAATCCCATTGGTCTCTCGGGTCAGTAGATAGGGACAGTATTAAAGGCAGTGAGTATTAAGGACAGCCCCATATCTTTCAAAATTAGTTTTGATTATAGTGACCCTCCCTACCGACCCTTAGATTATACCAGAAGGGCGCTATAACCTGTGCGCGCACAAGAACCTCATAAGTTCAGGTTCTGACCCCAAATGAGTGACGTCACGGACGTCTGTGTGGCTACTTGCTCCTTGGACTTACGTTCAGTTATTATATACAATAAAACATAAACAAATAAAAATAGAAACAGTGCAAATAGTACCTAAAAAACACTTAGTAAAAAGTATCACAGTACCGTGTTCACATTACACTAAACAGCGCGCGAAAGTGTAGTGAATTCATGCAATAAAACAGCTATTTAATCAGTAATTCACCAAATTTAATAGACACTTAAGGTACTATACAAAAACAATTTTAAACAAATACCGGCAATTACAATAAACATTACATTGACTTAATTAAGTACAGCGAAATTAGTCGCACCTATTAGTGATGCCCGCACCTCTAAATCAAAGAGCAAATTCTTTACGGTCAATATGGTAGCCAAATGTAGTGTATGTTGTAAATTTATGCCACCTGCGTGTAGACGATCGTATCATAGGGACTGCGCAGGGGTAAATAAAAATAGGATGGTGCCGTCATCTTGGGTTTGCCCAAGATGAAGATTTTTCTATGTGCTTGCGTCGTGTCTTTGTGGTTTTTCAGCGACTTTTTAGTCGTAGCGCCATCTATGAGACATCTATGAAAGATTTATCACCCAGTTAGTACCTTTACAGCTACCAGTCCTGGCGAGAGATGTCGCTATTCACTGTATTAATTAAATTTTTATTGAATTGATATTCAATTATTTTTTAACATTTTTAAACATTCGTGAGGTGCGTTGGTTCGATCCGTGGCTTAGTTGGTATAGCGTCTGGCACGGTATGCAAGAAGACGTCGGTTCGAATCCAACCGGATCGAAGGATTTTTTCTGAGTGTTCGATCTTTGTATTAATAATTATAACAAACTATTGGAGTAATTTCACAAAATAGAACTGAATATCAATTCAATAAACATTTAATTAATACTTAAACTTAAGTTAGGGTTATTAAATGTGGGTTCATTAGGTACACGCCATGATGAATTTTTGGTTGCAATGAACTGACACGATGTTGATATTAAGGCCATTAACGAGACTTGGTTAAGAGAAGGCGAAGAGGGTCGCGCACCGTCGGTATCTGGTTACCGGCTACGTCATAACCCCGTCCTGGCATGCGTTCGCGCGGTGGTGAAGTCGATTTCTACATACGACAGAGCATCGCGGCCCGTACATTGCTTCATCCGCCGGCTCCACTCGTAGAACAAATGTGGTTGTATGTGAATATTTCTGACACAAAGCTGCTGATAGGGACAGCGTACAGACTCCGTGGTTAAATGTAGACACTTTAGTGGATGTATTGGCAGAGAGTTCTGTTCTGCTCTGCTGTGCTCTGCTCCGCTCTGTTCTGTTCAGTTCTGTTCTATTCTAAATCAGCCAGTGTACAGAGTTGTCATAGACCTCTGTCACTTGACTTCATCCGGTTCACGAGAGGCTAGTACCTTGGGTGAGCCGCCCCGGGTGCACGTACAGCACCCTCCCTATTTTCCAGATAGGTACCGGAGCTGTAGGCACCGCTCACTTCCCGTTGCACGTTGCACAACTAGCGGTTGCCACCGCTAAGCCGTCGACTCTGAGTCCACTACCAAATCTCCTCATTCGTGGCGGAGCTGTAAGGCACGCTCATCCCGACGCCGAAGCGTCTCTCTAGTTCCCAAAAACCTAAGCGGCTGGAAGGACCGAAGGATACTACAGGAGGATACAATCGTGCCATCGCCTCGCTATTGAAAAGCAGAATACTAAAAAATTGCAATCGCAGTTGAATGGCTCGATGGCTAGCCACGGACAAGCCACTAATCTTATCTTTTACAAGAATACCAAACGTAGAAAATGCTGCCATTGACCACTGAGATTATTTAAAATTTAGCAATAGTGGGGCCCTGTTCTCTCGCTGGTCTGTCACTGCTGTATCTAGTATAGTAATGCTGCCTATATTAATAGGATCTTTGTCCTGCAAAAACGTGCGGTCAAGGCAATTTACAATGTAGGCCCCAGAGTGTGTTTCAAAGATAAGTTTAAATAAATTAACATAGAGTAGCGTCATAGTACATATTATATGAAAATGTAATTTTTATTAAGAAGAATAGTATTTTTTTTATCAAAAATAGTGACAAGTGACAAACATAACATTAATACGATAAATAAAAACAAACTGGCTGTCAGTCGTCTTCACAAAGTGACAGATTTTCATTTATTTATTATTATTCATTTAAGGGACAATGTATATACACTCTTCTGTAATGAGATTCCGGTTGATATTGATCACAGACCACATAAATATTGATTTAAAACTATAGTGTAATAAAAACTTGCAAGTCAAAAATCCATTGTAGTAAACCCGTATAGGTTGCCACAATCCGTAACTGCTTCCGTAGCCGAACGGTTACCGTGCTGGACTGCCACGCAGAGGTCCCGGGTTCAATTCATTTAAGGGGCAATGTACATACACTCTTCTGTAATGCGATTCCGGTTGATATTGATCACAGACCACATAAATATTGATTTGAAGCTATAGTGTAATAAAAACTTGCATGTCAAAAATCCATTGTAGCAAACCCGTATAGGTTGCCTCAATCCATAACTGCTTCCGTGGCCGAACGGTTACCGTGCTGGACTGCCACGCAGAGGTCCCGGGTTCAACTCCCGGGCCGGGAGAAATATTTGTATCGCCTACACTTATTTGTCTCGTGAGTTTGGGTGTAATTTGTAGTTGTCTATGTGTGTGTCCATGGCACCCGCGATACAGGGTTTCCCTAGTGTGGGGCTATGAGTGTGTGTGTCATTATTATTATTTACTTTATTCTTCTCAGCTTGTTAGCTGGTTTGAACCACATTTACTAATATAAGTCAAGTAAATGCAGTATGGTGTATATCTACGAGTATGTGGTGGGTGTGTTATTATTATTATTATTATTATGCTCTTGAAATAAATATTATAAATGACAAATGTGTACAAATGTTTATTTACAAAGAGCACAACCCCTAGAGTTTCTTGGTCATTATTCTCAGGAGAATCAGCTTTATGAACTAGGGTGACTATTTCAAATGTGATTTGTTTACATGAGAAATAAATATTTATATAAAAAGACTTTGAATTTGACTGCACTTCTTTATGTATAAGACTAAAGAAAGGTTTTCGGGTTCACACCAAATCTATTTATAAATACTATGTAAATTATTAAATTATTACAATGTATGTATTTAAAATAAAATCATGAAGGCTTCTTAAACATAATGTTGTTATCAATTGTTATGTAAAGTAAGTGTCAGAGCATGTCAAACACGATGTACACACATGTGTTTGTAACGTCTAATTACTTGTATTTGCGTACCGAATGTACATAAATATGTAAAACGTTTGAAGGAAAATTATGAACTACGTCATTATGTACATACATTATAACCTTTTTGTTTTTGCTGTCAATATTTTGAAGTCACGGATCTTTTTCAATTGTGTTTACGTAACAGCTATTGTACCGACTTATTTCGAAGTTGATTCGTGATGAATGTGTGTAGTAATTAATATCAACATCCATTTTGGATTTGGATTCAAGGTCGAAGTCAAAATTCTCTATTTCATAATCAAGTAATCGTTAAACTCTACTGCTCGTTCATAAGGTAAATTCCCCTGAGAATAATGAGCAAGTAACTATAAACATTTCGATGGCTTTATAGAATTAAAATAAAATGCCGAGAAGCATGTGCCGCCCAAAGTTGACGAGATGTCGGCCATTCCAATTCATTCATGCGATTATTCTAACCAGTGAAAAGCTTGGAATTCAATCACAATAAAATTTAGCAGTTCCTAAATAAATCTTAGTAATAAATAAAAAAGGATCAGTTTTGGGTTATTTCACTTTTCTTGCAAAGTACATATTTTTGTACACATTTATCAATTAATTTAATTTATATTCAATCGGAAATGAAACTATTTTTCAGGATTTAAATCGCGTATATTTGTTTTTTCAAACAAACCGACAGACGTTTCGGGCCCTTTACAGGTCCCATAGTCACGGTTGTCCACCGTGAAAAAACAAATATACGCGATTTAAATCCGGAAAAATAGTTTCATTTCCTATGTGTAACAATCGCGAAAACCTAAGAACTCGTTATATTCAATATTTAGTCATCATAGATCGAAGTATCTAAAAGGGTCACTATCACAAATTTTTGCATCCATGTACTTACAAGCTGTATAAATAATAAAGTTTTTGTTTCATTTTCATGTTTCATTTGTTTTTATAGTTGTAAACCTCTTGAATGGCAAATTTTGAATACTAACCGAAATCTTATTGTTGAAGCGTATACATTGTTCCTTAAATTAATTTATGACTTTGTGAAAATGACTGTGACCAAAATGTGGCGTGTGTGTGGTGTGGTGTGTGTTACCCTTAGTTTTTACGAGTCACGGCTTCATTACTTCACAAAGTCTGCGGATATTGTGCAGTATACTATGGGTGTAAACCAAGGCTACACTGAGAGTCGAGTGGTCGGAGTCCCGGCACAAAGTGAATTTTAATTCATTTATGGTGAAAGAACCAACTGAACATCTGTCGATCTTCATGAAGGAAGAAGAAGAAGAAGTGTGTATGTTAATCCTTAAAGTATATATTATATGGCTCATGTTGCCTAAATTAAATAAATGAAAAAATATATTTTATTGAATTTCATATTATGATGAATTTATTTTGTTTTTTTTATGGTACTAAGTGACGGGACGAACAAGTCGTGTGCCTGATGGTAAACGACACACCTGTCCATAACAGTTGCAGTGCCACTCAGAGCTTTAAATCGCAAAGATCTGAGATGCACTGCCTTTGCGCCCATGGCTTTGAAACGTAAGTTGAGAAGTTCCTTGTACCCAAGCCGTTAAAACAAGAAACGAAGATCAGCAACAAACACTAGAAATTCGCAAAGTCTGCTGACTAGTTCCGTAACTCAATTGGCAAAGCGTTAGCCCCGATTTGGTGAAAAAGTCGCTGGTTCGAGTCCAGCCGGATCGAAGGAAGTTTTCTTTATGTTTGTTCGATATTTGTATCAATAATAAAAAAATAATTATGTTTTTATATAACTAGATGAAAAACATTGACATCTATAAGAAACTGGCAAAGGCAATGGAGTCACAGTATTTCGACACCTCGACCCCAGGAAGGCAGCTGATCCTACAATACTGGATTAATAACAATGATCGATATTTCAAGATCTTAATAACTTTAGGCACTTTCTGTTTGGCGGTTTGGTAAGAAGGAACTTCTGCTCACTATTTCTAATTAGTAACCCAAGTGTCTTTGAAGCCTTAATGTACTCTAAAATGCGAAACTAGCCTAAATGTAGGCTAGTTTCGCAGCTGCATATACGGTCCGTACGGACACATACGGTCCGTACGGACTGTCCGCCCGAGGGCCATCCGCTTGCGTAGAATTCGCAGTGTTCTGAATCGAATATTTAATTTAGTGCGGATATTCACGGAAGACAGTTGCCTATAATGAACGCACGGGTAGCTTGTGCGGAGTTCACGCAAAGCGTGTTCCGTACGGAGCAATCCGCGTCACTGTAAAACGATGTTTTATCCGCTCACGCGATGCGCTCCTCCTACCGCAAAATGGCGGCTATTTGGTTTCGCAAATTAGAAAAGCATTCAGTTTAAATACAAGTTTTTATAAATGAAAATTATTATTCTGCATTGCTAAATAAGTACCCTCCGTACTACCAACAAAAACATCTCAAATAAAATGCAGTAATACACTGCAAATCCTGCACTTGAAAAGCACTAATGAAATTTTTGGTGTATTTAGATAAATATGATAATATTCCGTTTGAGTGGTTCTAACGTTAACCATGAAATTACTCCTTAAAGTATAGTTTATAAACATTTATATTCAGGGTAAACTTAAAAAACGCTACTTACGGTATGTTTTCAATAAATAAACACCGAAATCACCAGCCCAAACAATACTCACACGATTGTCGTGACGTATTTTTGAAGTTGTTTATTTTTTTTAAATGACAGACCCAGGCATTAAAAACTTTATGGTTTGCTAGAGTAGTTACCGAAATAGCAATTAATATTAGTTATTTTACCTGTTATAACTTCGATATCCGATAAATAGGTATAAAATCATCACCGGCACCTCTAGGTGTGGTATGCGTCTACGGCTGCATGTATCGCGTGAGCGGCTAATGCCACACGTGTTAATCCGCTCCGGTGCTCCGCGCGAACGGTCCGCAGGAAAATCCGCACTGCTCGGAAACCAGCTCTATTATCTTATGGTCCAAAGTCTCTATCCTGTACCTTTTAGTCTCCTCCAATAATAATTTAACATCAAAGATGAAAATACCGGGAAAAACCGTGGTTTTTCCTAAATTGTGTGTGCACTAAGTTACACAAGATTATATACAATCTTAACCCAAACATTGACCAAATGTGGTTTTAGTGGAACTGTGTCACTTAAAGCTCTGCCTACCCCTATATGGGAACCCAAAGGCGTGACTATATGTATGTACATATGTGTAGGCGTAGTTCAGAGTACGGCAGTTTGCATTTATGTTAGACACAACTGGTTGATGACTTTATTATCACACTCAGCCATGACCTTGGGACCTGTAAAAGGCTCGAAAAGTTGATTTGTTGGAGCGATTAAAAAACTACACAAGTTACGTTAAGATGGCGGCCTTCAACAGCAATACACTGATGTAGATGGTTTCTAAAGTTTTTGGCCACTTTTCGGCACACCTCAAGCGGTATAGCGCTCACTCCCTCTATAATTGGAGGTCTTTTACGAGGTGTTTTTCGCCTTGAGGTCTTCTACGGTGGGAGGGTGACCCTGAAAAACTATATCCTTGTAGTTAACCAACAGAAAACAATTGCAGGGGCTTAAATACAGTAAGTGAATTGACACCCCGTGTTACCTCTGAGTAAGACGATAGGAACAAGCAAAATTTGCCACAGTTTGATCATGGAAATGCAACTGCCTCCGTGGCCGAACAGTTATCATGCTGGACTGCCACGCAGAGGTCCCGGGTTCGATCCCCGGCCGGGTCAATTTAGTAATACCTTTTCTATTATTGTCTCGGGACTGGATGTTTGTGGTGCCGCGTTGTTTCCGATTTCCATAACACAAGTGAATGTGATGTTGTCTAATGTAAAATAGTATATTTATACTAAATATAAATAGTATACATATTTTAGGTATCCCTGTCAACTCTTCGATGACGTGGAATACAATTTAGTAGCTGGCTTGAAAATCCCATTCAACTACCAGACACCGAGTCGCTACGCCGCCACATACCTGGTTGCAGTTATCTTTTTCCACTACACGTCCTACTTCACTATGGTGAATGATTCGATAATGCAAGTGCACTTGATGCAAATGTTGTGTCAATACGACGTGTTGGCAGATTGTTTCGAGAATATTCTCGTTGACTGCAGTACGGATATCAAAGGTTATGATCACTTTGTCTTTGTGCTGTAGTGTACATTTATCCCGGTAACCTCGGTTTCGGACTTCAAAGCTATCGAAATTTATGAGACTTAATTAAATACTTAGTATTAAAAATCACCTAAACCTATAGTATTTTTTTTCATTCCGGTTACACGAACATGACTACACTGTAGAGTAAAGCTTAGTACAATCCGTGGAGATTAAAGAATGATAGTAGTAAAATCAGGTATACTCTCCTTCTTCGTTCGAAACAATTATTACCAAATAAGTAATACTCGACCAAATTAAAAAATACATGACGCGAATGAAGCTTCATACCAGACTTTGTCTTTTAATAAGGTCGAGTTCGTTCGAAATTTCGTTGGCATCGGGTATATAACCAGAAATAGAGACGAAATAAGGGTCATACGTTCCTGGTAACTCATCAGTGATACATCACTTATAAATATCAATTCTCGTTTGCAATGAAATATAGACAGCACCAACAACTGATCTGTGTGTACGTCTTCGCATATTCCAAAAAATATTCTGTATTTATTGTAATAAAGATAATATCTCTAACAGTGGCGTTCTGTAACATTCGATGGTGTGAGGAAAAACAGCAAAACATTTATCATCGGTTATTAAATGTTAAATACGTATTTTTCCAATTTTCGTCCACTATAGCAAAGCTCAAATTAACTGGTCGATTCGAAGTGAAACAATTGACGACACACATTGACAACACTAGCCAATTGTTTCGAATTCGGGCTGGCCAATCGGAGCGCAGTTGTCACAGTAATTATATGGCAGAATAGTTTTCAAACAAATTAAATGACAATTCGTCTGGTTATATACTCGATGTTCGTTGGCTATTCAGCGCGGTAATGCTGCCAGTGTTATGGGGACGTTTGAACCAGCTAAGATTCAGAGCGGTCCATTTTTTTATTGTAATAGTTGGATAAAAATGGCTAAGTCTGGCGAATTGCATTATTAATTTTTATGTGATGAAGCTTGTTGCTGATTTATATTTGTGTCTTCCTGACGAGGCCTACGTTGCGGATTGACATAATTATGTAACTAATTTAGTTTTTAAATGAGTTGATTTGTATTTAGTTTTTGAATGAATAAAAAGCGAATAGCAGTTTATTTAGATTTGGTCGAGCATTACTTATTTGACAGTAATTTTTATGGACGGATGTCAGGCAGAGAATGAAAGTAGTTTCGGATTAAGCGTCCGGGGTTTCATCCGAAACTACATTAAACGCCCTTTGTTCCGTACGTGCGAATTATGGCATATGTAACCAAATACAGTCGTAAAACAAAATTGAAAAAAAAAAAACGCGTTTTAAAAAATAAACATTTAATGGAACTTATTGGGAATAATGTGATTATTTTAATAATAATAATTTAACGAGTTCTTAGGTTTTCGCGAATGTTACACATAGGAAATGAAACTATTTTTCCGGATTTAAATCGCGTATATTTGTCCGGAATTGTTAAATCCGGAAAAATAGTTTCATTTCCTAATAATAATTTAAATTTATATTTAATTGATATTCAATTAATTTTTTTTATGTGGAATTATTCCACTAGTTTGTTATAATTGTTAATACAAAGATCGAACACTCAGAATAACATGGCGAAATACTTTTATAGATTACTCATAGATGGCGCTACGGCTAAAAAGTCGTTGAAAAACCAAATTCAAAAACCATACGACAATAAACACAGAATAATCTCAGTACAGAGTACTAAAAAAATCGACCTCAGAAGTTCGTGGAATAACTTTTATTTGCCAAGTTTTATTGAAATAGCCTCTAGTTCGCCCCTATACGAGACTTGACACAGGAGATAATAAAAATCGGTTCTCACTACTCAAAGTATATTGTGAGAGAGAAAAACGCCTTGAATTTTAGAATAGCAAACCCAGCTGTGGGATACATCGGGCTAATTGTAGTGTAATGTAAAACAAATGTAGCGTAAATTGACATGTTTCTTCGAAAAATTTAAAAATAAAGTATTTAATTAACAATTAACAATAGTGAAAAATAGGGTGGTTTCCATAAGTATTAGACATAACTAGTTGATGATTTTACCTACTCAGTCAGCCATGACCTTAGACGAACTCTTGCACAAGGACCTGTAAAGAGTCCGAAACGTTCGTTTGTTTGAAGAAAAAACAAATACACGCGAATTAGATTCGAAAAAAGAGTTTCAATTCCTATGTGTAACAATCGCGAAAACGTAAGAACTAGATGTGATTATTTTTGTTTATACACAATATTTAGTTATCCATTGATAAAGGAGAATATGTTATTGACTTATTTATTATTTTTATTTTTGATATTTCAAATCATGTCTACGACGTATTCGGTTTCGCGTGCGATATATAGTTTTTTATTTTGTTATTTAAGTTTTAATTATTAAATATAAATCAATTTAAACAATTTTTATAATGTATTTGTTTAAAATATCATGTTTTGATTGCCTTATAGTATGGATACTACTTTTGAAATATTCTCGAAAGTTAACAAAGGTTAACAAAAGGTTAAGACGTGAAGATATGGTACTCTTAAAACAGTTTTAATCGACTTCACCATGCAAATATAGTGTAAATTTTTTGCTTCCTTTGCGATTGATCCGTTTTTTCTTTATACGAGTACATAATCTCAGTACTAGAAATCAGTTACCAGAAAGTGCGCGAAAACGGATTCATCTTCGAGTTTGCCACCCCTAGAGGTGTAATATTTCCTTCAAATTTAAATGGGACTACAACTCTGGGGTGCCCTCTTTTCAACAACAAAACAAACAACAAATTAAGCCGTAGTTATGGCGTAACTAATTGAGAACCTCGTCTTTTTTTGAAGTTGGTCAAAAACAGTGTCTTTAAAAGTAGATGAATTCAGATGATAAATTTGACCACCTTTTCCAGGACTTAATAAAAATAATTTCCATACCAATGAGGCATTTATACAAAAATATATAAAGCGACTCGGGGATTTAGTAAAACAACACAACATGATTCTGAGGTAAACATATTTTATGAGTTACGCATTAACAAATTATTAAAAATTTAGTTAAACAGAAACAATAATCAAATTTTTTATCAAAAAATATTTAAGAAGGTTAGGTGCCAACCAAAGTTTTTCGATTTTTTGACGATTGACGATGTTGCAACGACAAAATTAAGCTTGACAATAAATGGTTATCTACGAGAAATAGACACCTCTGTTGACTCGCAACCTTTCAAGTATAATTGTTAATTCAAAATTTTTTTTCTCAGTGTAAATATTACTTGTATATTTCTTAAAATTGCAGCAACACGTCGGAACTACGCAAGATTCTAAGTGTGCCCATGTTAGTGCAACTAGGAGGGAACGCGATGGTCATTTGTTTCTCGGCGTACCGAGTCACCATGGTGAGACACGGTTGTGACCATAGGTGTGCCAAAGCACATAGTAAAGCTTGTGAGAATTTTCACAAAGTTATATTTGTGCTAAAAAGTCACTAATCATATCCACTATGTTAAAAATACATTACGAGAGTAAAAAAAAACTGTTGGATCGTAGAGTGATGCAAAGAAGACAGCGTAGTGGATGTGGCAACAACTTACACATGCCCAGAATGGATACTTTAGGACTTATAACGACAACAACCGCATGAGTGACCGTGTGTAAGACAAAAATCTCACTCCGCTGTTGCTACGTCACAGGAACCATAATATGATTGACTTATGGCTGGTATTCCATAAATTCTCAAAAATAAAATAGTCTTTTCACAAAAATTGCAAGCTAATTAGCTTTTTGTAATCGAATTGTTAAGTATAATCAATAGTTTATACACACACTCTAATTCAAAATGTTGAAACATGTTCATCTTGCGCATAAATGTTTTTATAGGCGGTGGGAGTCGAGTTCCTGAAAAGTCTCCTGCATTTGGCTTACAGCATGATTATGCTATTTATACTCTGCAAATGGTGCGACGAGATCAAGGTGCAGGTTAGTGTTTAAAGTTGCTTTCGTTCTATGAAATTTTATTGCATATGTCGAGCAATTATAAATTGGCATTAATTATGCCTTTATAATATAAACTCTTTTGCAAAAAAAACGGGCACTTTAGATTTTTTTCTCTACTTCAATGAAGAAGAACAAGAAATAGGTTTTATTAATTTGACGATATATTGGCATGTTATTTGAAGCGTCCTGGCATGATTCTTTACGTTCCAAATTTAAAATTTGAAATTAATAAAAGAAAAATAATGATTATTGTGGATTATTCTAAAATTGCTTTACTAATGGCGCGAATTGCTGAAACGATTTTTAACTGATTACGATATTTTAAAACTTTTTGGATATTTTCTGCGAATTAAATAATTTAATCTTTCTTTTTACATTAAATACCACTTTTTGATATGAGTGATAAAGTGATAAGGGCCGGTAAAATTATAGCCCTACTTGAAGAAGGTTGTTCGCAAACTTACGTGTCTCAGCGGCTAAATGTGATTCGTTCAACTGTCCAGAGGACTTGGCAACGGTATCAAGAGACCGGTTCGGTCAAAAGAAGACCCGGTTCGGAAAGAAAACGATGCACAGAACCAAGAGATGACCGCTTTTTGGTGAGTCAGGAGTTGCGGAATCGTAAGGCGTCAAGTGTGGACCTGAAGAAGAGCCTTGAAGAAGTAAGAGGAGTAGAAGTTAGCTTGTGGACGGTCAGGAGGAGGCTTTTGGCTGCCAATATCAGGAGTTACCGCCCAGCTCGGGGCCCTAAATTACTCCGTGAGCACCGTGTTGCTCGACTTCAGTTTGCTCGGAACTGTGCTTCATGAACTCTGGACGACTAGAATAAAGTATTGTTTTCTGATGAAGCTAGAATTTCTTTGTGTGGAGAGGACCGACGCCGGCGAGTGCTGCGAAGACCACGGGAACGCTATGCGGAAGTGTGTTTCGAAGAAATCACTCCTTATGGCGGAGGCTCCGTTATGTTTTGGGCAGCAATTAATTCGACGGAGCGTACGGAGTTAGTTTTCATAGAAAATGGAACATTAAATGCACACCGGTACATAATGGAAGTCCTAATTCCATATGCACAACCCACATTGACTGCACTTGGGGAAGATTCCATTTTTATGGACGACAATGCTCGCCCGCACCGTTCTAGCGACGTGGAAGCGTACATGCAAGAAGTTGGGATCCGTCGTTTAGATTGGCCAGCTCGAAGTCCTGACCTCAATCCAATTGAGCATGTCTGGGATGTTCTAAAGAGACGGGTAAGATCAATGCAACCTGCTCCACAAAACATCAGGGAGCTAAAAAGAGTCATTGCAGAAGATCGGGAACGTATTCCTCAAAACGTTATTAAAAACATCGTGGAAAGCATGCCCAGAAGGATTCAAGCTGTGATTTTGGCAAGAGGAGGTCACACTCGTTATTAGGTTTTTACATTTGTAACTTTATTTAATTAAAAAAAGTAAAAAAAATCTTGTCTTTATTGCCGACCACTTCTTATTGTTTGGGCGTGTACATCGGTTTTAAAGAATCCATCGTTTTTTTTTCTTTTAATTGCCCGAATTCACTTCACGCGTATTAATTTACACGATTATAAGTATATAGACTAAGTCAAAGAAATAAATTTCATCTAATTAACTCAAATCGACTTTAGAACGTAAATTTCCTTAGGTGCCCGTTTTTTCTGCAAAAGAGTGTATATATATAATATCACAAATTTATGTACATATATTCATAATGAATGGCTTGTGAGACTAATATATTGTCTCAATTCTGCTAGTGTCCGTTATGTGTTAAATTCATAAACATCATGGAGGGGGTGTTTAAGTAAAGAAGGAGTATCGAAGATGTATACATATATAAAACTTAAAAAAAATGGCGCCTACTTTTTAAGTTTGACACAAGTGGAAAAGAAATAGTTAATACGTTTTGTTCTAGGAAGGAAAAAGGACAGTAACTCAAATATATATGTGTATAATAATGAGTGTGAAATTATGTCTAATCTGCTTCTTACTTATAATATCCTGTGATATAATATTGGCCATAAACTTTACCCCTTATTTTCAAATGGCAACCCTGCCAACGACCGTCCGTCCTGGCAGGCCCTCGTTATTGACTGATTAAACTGAACAGATTCAAACGACACGCAGTTTGAGTTTTTTTTTATAATATCAAGTGACACGGACGAACAACTCGTGCGCCTGATGGTAAGCTACATGTCTGTCCATAACAGTCGCAGTGCCACTCTGAGCTTCAAATCGCAAAGATCTGAGTGGCACTGCCACTGTGCCTGTCGCCCTGAGACAAAAGTTGAAATGTCCCATGTGTGTGACGACACCCGTCAATTGTTTCGAATTCGGGCTAGCCAATCGGAGCGCAGTTGTCACAGTAATGATATGGCAGAATAGTTTTCAAACAAATTAAATGACATTTCGTCTCTATTTCTGGTTATATACTAGATGGGCGTGACACTCTATACCTATTGAGAAGGAGCCAGGTAGGCAGATATTATTGAGTGTTTACTAATGATATTTAATATAACCATAGCTGGGTATTAATGTAAAGCCCCTGGCAAACTCGCTATTAATTGTCATTTTACTTTGACCCAGGGGCATTCCGCGTACTATTTTAGAATTATTTATATTACTAAAAAGAAAAACAAATGAAGTGAAAAATATATAGTCGAGTTGTTCAAATTATTGACGTTATGTCATATACTTTTCCTTGCGGAAAGACAAAGTTCTTTGCACCATGCAGCCTAGTCAAGTACATAGATGTCGTTAAGCCATTTTTTGAACCGTTTTTTATATATTTTTTAATTTACATGGTAACCTTACTAATTTATAATAATTTATACATACTCTGTTATAGTGTAGTCAGAACACTCTGTTGCTTATTAATCTGTGATTCATGGTTTGCCTAGTTTTAACACGCGTCATTACATGCTTGCAGAACGAGATGGATAGTGTGAATTTTGTATACTATTTCGCGATTATCAAATATTATAATGCAAAAATTAATCAAAAACCACAACACTGCTCACCGAATCAATGTGAATAACTTAAAACTTTAAATTTATGTTCACGCAATTAGTCAAATAGCGAAACGTGAGCAGCACACCGATGTAAATTAATTTTCAAAGATGACCGAATCTGCGTCTACCGTCTTGAATCTTTGACAAGTAGCTAAATGATATGCAACGTCTTCACTGCACATCAATGAAACCCAGCGTGTGTATGGAACGCCGCATCTAGTACACTAGTACATAGATATCGTTGACCACAACAAAAACAATTCAATAGTAAATTTCATAACTTTGAAATTGTTCTTGTTGTTGTTGTTGAGAAAATATTCGCCAGGTGTTAGTTCCATATTATATTGTAGTACAAATTGGTCATTTACACAGGAACTAAAGAAAGGCAGCGGCAGCAGGTCGTACGAAATATTTGGTTCGTAAATATATTCACGTTCCAAAAACCAGATATAAAAGACCCGCAACTTCATGACGCTTTTCAATTTCTAGTCTAATATCGTAATATAATGGTAAAATGTCAGAGTTTAAGATAAAATTGCTCGCTTTTGTCTAGCATCGCGTTGCTTACTATGATAACAGGTGAGGATGATATGATATGGCATTTACAGATGTCTATTTCAAACTTTCATCCATTGAGTTTCATCTTCAGTTAGACGCTTAAAAGCGAAAATATTGAGCTTAAATCTCAATTCTCGGTATTTTAGATGTGGCGGTTGCGTAGGTTATTCTTAGTATGTTATATGACAACACCCTTGTAGTGGTACTTATACAAAGTTTTAGATAGGCTGTAAACCGACCTTTAAAAGGGTATATTTGGTATCACAATCTTACACTAGCGTCACAGTACATCTATGAAGGAATCTATGAATATTTTATGTTAAGAGGAATAGTAATCTCTTTATGAAAATAGTGACAGACATAACATAATAAGATGATTAAAAATAAACTAGCTGTTCTTGATCATCGTCTTCACAAAGCGACAATGTATACGCTTCTATAACAAGATTCCGGTTGATATACAAAATTTGCCATTCACGAGGTTTAAAATTATAGTGAAACAAAATCTTTATACTAAAGGTTATTATACAACTTCTGCGTACTTGGATGACAAAAATCCGTGGTAGTAACCCGTTTAGCTCATGGAGGTAGTCTCGATCTCTGATGTTTGAAAGCAAAACAAAAAATATATTGTAAATACGTACAAATGTTATTTACAAAGAGCAACCCCTAGAGTTTCTTGCTCATTGTTCTCAGGGGAATCTGCCTTACGAATGAGCGGTAGAGTTTAACCATTGTGACGATTTCAAGTGTAATAATGCTTACCCATGAAATAAAGATTATTTTGATTTTGATTTTTGATGTTTGACAAGGAAAATAAGAACGTGAAGATCGATCGCCGTAGTAAGGAATTTTCATCTTTCGTATCTCATACAAAAATCAACCATTCAATGAATTTAATGAAACAATTTTGTATTGGACAGTATTTTTTAAACTTTCAAAACGTATTTTGTTTTGTTTGCAGGCAAGTGTCTAAAGCTCTATAATAAAGTACGTATTTTTGCAACACAAGAAATTAAGTCTCTTCGTACAATCGAGTCCAGATGTTGTGGATCTGAATATTGACTCGCAATACAGAATATTAAATAGGGTAGGGTTGATATCTTAGTATAAATGAACATTTCTATGATAAACAAGTGAACCCATCTGAAATGCAGGTCGATATCGAGATCTTACTAAGTCAACAGTCTTTATTAATAAATATTGCTTGATAGCCATTGACATCAATGTTGAGAGTACGTCATTTAGTTGTTAAGCATCGTTTCGATGCGTCTAATGAGCACTAAGCCTACAAAATTTTTTGATCTCTATTTTTATTTTGTTTCTTGTTTCCTTATTTTTCGAATTTTAATTCTTTGTTTCTTATAATTATTAATACAAAGATCGAACATTCAGAAAAAACACTCAGAAAAAAATCCTTCGATCCGGTCGGGTTCGAACCGACGTCTTCTTGCATACCGTGCCAGACGCTATACCAACTAAGCCACGGAACGAACCAACGCACCTCACGAATTTTTCTATGTGCTTGCGTCGTGTCTTTGTACTTGGTCTTTCAACGACTTTTTAGTGTCTTTGTTTCTTTCTTTCGAGGAGCATAATATTAGTAAATAAAATAAGGCTGTTTACATTAAAAATAGAAAATGACCTAAAATTTAAAAAAAGTCTTCGTGGCCAAAGGGTTACCATGCTGGACTGCCACGCGGACGTCCCGGGTTCGATTCCTCGGGCCGGGAGAAATATTTGTACGGCCTACATTTATTTCTCTCGTGAGTTTGGGTGTGATTTGTGGTTGTCTACGTGTTACCACCGGCTTACCTAAAATTTCCCGCGTACCTATTACCAGTTGCACCGCGCATACCCCACCACTTAAAAAACATGAATTCAAAATATTCACTATTACACGCGTAATAACTTGTCCCGATGCATCTCAACCAATCAGCGCGAGGTAAGCCGGCGGATCGGCGAGTTCTATTTCGTTCATGAAATCTACGAGCTCCCATCAAAATATATGAAACACATTCGCAAAAATCCGCTTTATAACAGATAAAGAAATGGCGGCCGAGAAGCCGCATTAATTCGAGTTATTGTCAAATAGCGTACACTTAAATTTATACCTTATTCCAACGTTATAGTTTAATTTGTTTTAATGTCAGGATCGTTGCCAGATGTAAAACTCTTTTTAACCGACTACAAAAAAGGAGGAGGTTCTCAATTCGACAGTATGTTCTTTTTTTTGTATGTATGTTACGCGATAACTCCGGTTTTTTGTGAACCGATTTTCATGATTCTTTTTTTGCTGGAAAAAAATTGCTTTTTTTGCTTTTCTTTTATGGTACTTCCATAGTGGTCCCATTTCATTTTGAAGAAAATCATCCACCTCGGAGGGTGGCTGTTCACGCATGAAGATTCATTTTCATAAATAGCGCCTAACATTAATTTAGGAGCAATTATGGTTGATTTTGCTATTTCTCCAATTCAAGGCGTTTTTCTCTCAATATACTTTGAGTAGTGAGAACCGATATTTTATTATCTCCAGTGTCAAGTCCTGTATAGTGGCGAACTATATCTCAATAAAACTTAGCAAATAGACGTAATTCCACGTACTTTTGAGGTCGGTTTTTTTAGTACTCTGTACTGAGATTATTATAAAATAATGTAACAAAATGATTATAATAGCAAATTAATTCAAAATATGGTTAATTTCTATTTTGTAAATCTCAACGATAAAAAGTGTTACGTATGTATCTATATTTAATTGGGTGTTTCTTTTTAATAAGGCTACGTAACGAATGTATGTAAAAGGTTAAGGTAATTCGTAGGTAATTAAAATAGCAACACTTAGCCACCATTTGTTTGTTTACATTGTTCTTTGGTTTACATACTTTCGTATCGCGACGGGAAGCTTAAAATGTAAAATTACTTTATAAGCTATGGTTATTTTATGTTTAGAATAAGTTATCCTGTGAAATGAAGTTATCTAGTATCTTGGATCCTAATAAGGGTTATGTTTAAACGTCGCCAAGCGCCCTTTTTAACGGGAAAAGAAATTTGTGGTAAAAGTGGAAAATTTTCACGCCTCGTCACTGGTGTATGTCCATGGCACCTGCGATACAGGGTTTCTCTAGTGCGCGGCTATGAGTGTGTACGATATGTGCGTTATTATAGGTATGGGTTTGAGAGTTGTCGGGATTGACTTAAAGTCTATGCATACGGCGCGTATTTTTTACGCGCAGACGATGCATAGATGACGCGCGTTAATGCGATTCAGTTGTAGCACCGTAGATCTATTGGCTCGGTCCGTCCGTACCTTTCACAGTGCATTTCGCTAGCGTCTGCCCGTAAAAAACACGCCGTATGTGCTAAGAGCCCTATGTCTTATCACTAAACGTCACTTAGTACTCAAATAACGGACTCGAGAACGATATCTTAGGACTTATCCTAATCAATCAAGTGACTAGTGACCCTAACACTCAAATCTTAGGGTCGTATTTCAGAACTCTACTTAATGCTCAAGTCAGGACTTGAGTATTGTAGTGAGCACTGAAAATCATACTCAAGTCCTTGTCATTAGGGTCGTATTTCCAGTGCTTGAAATCATACTCAAGTCTGCTCAAATCCTGACTTGAGTATTGCAGTGAGCACTGAAAATCATACTCAAGTCTTTGCCATTAGGGTCGTATTCCCAGTGCTTGAATTCATACTCAAGTCTGCTCAAATCCTGACTTAAGCATTGAGTAGAGTTCTAGAATAGTATCATCCAAGACGGCATTAATACAAAAAAAGCATGAGATGTGATTTAGACATCTCAGCCGACACGGACTCAATCCCGACTTTAGTAATCTAATCCGTGAATCTTGTCTCTTTATTTCTGTCACTGATATGTGCCTCTATCCTTGTTCGCAATAACATAAAACTTTTTTGACATTTATAAATGTGTGAGCTTGCAAAAGCTGAAGATGGTGAATGTCATATCGCAAGAAACTGACTGACAGGCGCCTTGACGGGCGCCTAAAAGAGTGTTCCAGGGCGCGCGGCGCGGTGGCGAGTCCATTATGTGTTGTGGTTTGATATTTTTTCAAATATTAATGGACGTGTGGGGTGTTGGTTTTATTTTTTTTTAATAATAAATTACTTTCGAAAATGTATCTATACTTAATGTTCTGACGTCATTTAAAAAATGCTTAATGGGCGCTTTTATGTAGAAATATACGAGTTCTTCGAGCCGTGTTATTTTAAAACTATATAACTTATCGGAAAACCGCTATACTATGATCTTTGATATTAATCTCTAGTTCGTGTGTACTAAATATCATTGACTTTTATTAGTTGATATCCGAACTAGGATCAATTTTCGTCTATATGGATCGAGCGTACAATATTGTCCTGTTAATTTGGATTATAGGGTTTCAGACTTCGGTCGTTATTTACTAAATGATTACTACTAGCTACTAGCTCTTCACCATATATACGGTGTTTTTTTTAAATTGTACAATATGGGCAAACCCGACTGTGTAGGAGATACAGATACTGTCTTACGAACCATTAATGTTATTCATTTCGTATGAAAAAAACTTTTTATTCAACTGGTCAAGTTGAATAAAAAGTTTTTTTTCTTAAACTTCTGCTGTTCCGCTTTTTTCTTCCAACACAATAAAATGGTTCTTATATGAAATTAAGTCTATCAGCGATACAGGAAAATATTGAACTTTATTCATTTTACATGAAAAACATTTTATTAAATGAATTAATCCTTACATAGAAATGAGTCGACCGGCACTAAAAAAATTAAATAATTTTATTCATTTTTGTGGACAACTCACCATTGACCAAAAAAATTAACTATGCCAAAATTGCTTTCACAAAAAAACCAAGATAGTTTCTCTGTATCTCCTACAGTATCGGTTTCCCCATACTATCCCAATAAAAAAGAACTTTGTATATTATAAGACTTCTTTTGAGTGTCCCGATATTTTAACTACAGTATGTGATGAATGTCAACTCTGAGTATGGAGCGTGTAATCATTCCAAAACATCGGAAAATAAAAATAAAATATTCATACAGTGGTAAGCACCTGTAACTAATGGTAATCAATTACAACATTACATAGTACATTGTATTACAAGGGCGGTAAATAGGCAAATACGTAAGTGGTTGTGACGACGACGGTCTGTCCAATTGTATATATATATCAAAGAAAACTTTACATTGAATCCCCTTGATTTACCATTCTACATAATATAATGGATTTAATAATGTTTCTATGTCTGATGACTAGGGCTTACGCATTGGCGATGCAGTGTACTTCAGCGGGTGGGAGGAAATGGCGAAGGTGCCGGGCGTGCGAGCTCGTCTTATGATGGTGGCTGCACGCTCGAATTGGCCTTTGGCGCTCACTGCTGGAGGGATTTATGATTTGTCACTCCGATCTTATACTACAGTACGTACAAGTAATATTGAATACGGGTATAACTTAGACATGGTAATAGGTATAATATGAAGAAGTACAGCAGAAAAGGTACCTACTTTATATGTTAATCCAGGATCCTATTTTTTTAAATAATTTATATGATTTTACTGGCAGTAGAGCTCTTGGAGCTCCAACTCGTGTGCGTGATGGTAAGCTATACGCCTGTCCATAACCAGCGCCTTACCCGACGCTCTCCCAACTGACATTACTTATATACCTCTAGTTTGTAAGGAATACTTTACTAATAGAATTTGGATATATGTCCGAAATAAAGATTTGAATTCAATAATATGCGTATTTACCAACGATATGACCATGAGCCTATTCAATTGTCAGTCTTGCAATATACATAAGTGTGGAATATCCCCGAGCATAAAATGTAATGTGCAGAGAATAATTAAAACTACTTTGTAGCCGCTATTAAAATTCCTTGATATAGGTAGCAAATGTCATTGGACATCGTATGTACTCATAAAATAGCCGAGTTACGAGAAAATTCAATATGCAACGGGCTTTATCAATATAGCAAAAAGGAAATTTGGAAAAATCACATCGACGACAACGCTGCGACTCGAGTCGCATTTATTGCAACTGTAGGATTAAGATTTGTTACAGTAACAGACTTTGAATGCGCGAATCATCATAAACATCATCAAATTTAAGAGTTATACTCTTGTCGGTGGAGCCTCTTCCAGTCCTCTCTCCTACAAGCCAGCTACTTGACCTCCTTATACGACACGACACCGGCCTTAATCAAAGTTGACGATTAATTAGTTATAATATTAAGTTTATTGAATATCACGATGTTTTACTACCGTGATATTCAATTATTTTTTCATGAAATTACTTCACTAATTAGTTCTGATTATTACCTAATACCAAGATGGAACACTAAATTAGAGAAATTAGAGAAATTCTTGAGATCCGAACCAGTGTCTTCAGCATATCGTGACTGACCCTCCCCCAACTAAACTACCGATCGAACCAGCACACATAACGAATGTTACTATGTGCTCGTTTGTAGATCTTTATTTTTTATTTTTAACGACTTTTTATTGCACGCCATCTGAGAAATATATGAACGGTACGGTATTCTGAAGGAGCTGAAAATATTTTTCTTAGTCTTCGATTTTTGTATTAATAATGAAATAATTCCGTACCTGAGAAGCATTACACTGTAAGTAAGTTTGTAATTTTACAAGAGACGTGATTTTGTATCGAAATGCAGCATGTACAACATTTAGAATGGCTTTAAATAAAACTTTTAATAACATTTCGAGTTACCCTAATTGGCGTACAAACTGCTTTTCGACACAAAATCGCTTCCCCCGTAAAATTACAAAAATGGCGCTTACAGTGTAATGCTTCTCAGGTACGGAATTATAGATTATTATTTTCTATGATACCAAGTGACGAGACAAACATGTCGTGCGCCTGTTGGTAAGCGTCATGCCTGTCCACAACAGTTGCAGTACCGCTCAGAGCTTTAAATCGCAAATTTCTGGGGGGGCACTGCCACTGCGTCCTGACATAAGTAAGCTCAGACTTAAGTTGACAAGTCCCATGTGTACGTAATTTCACCAGCACCCTTACCCTTCAAAACCGGAACGCAGTAATGCTTACATTACTGTTCAGTGGCAGAAATAGGTAAGGTGACAGTAGTTCCCTGGACGATCTCTTACACAAGGAGCTCTACTGCTATTAATTTATACATAAGTTTGATATAAGACAATTTAAAGCTTTCTACACACCGAGCCCGCCGACTCAGCGACATAGCCAGGGTTGGTGTTGGCGGGCTTGTTTCGGTTTTGTTGCGTCGGCAGTTGGACCCGTGCGAGCTAGCTGGCGACAATTCGGTGATATGTCGGCGGCTTGCGTGTGGCGTGCGCGCGCGCCCAGTCGCCCGGCGACACATGTTTTGCATTATGGAGTGGAACAATGAAAAAACTGTGACATTAATAAATCTTTATAGTGAAAAAAATTATTGTGGAACCATAAACACAGCGATTATAAAGGTCGTTCAAATTGTTTTCACGCATTGCAAACTATAGCAATTGAACTACTCGTATGTACAGATGTGCTTGGAAGGGATGCAGCGATAATAACTCCACAAACTGTTGTTATTAGATCACTATTATCGTCCATTTTTAAATGTTGAAATTATATAGGCGGATAAATCGATTGACTCAACACAAGATCTATTCACACCCTTTCGTCACTAACTGACGAGACAAGTTGCGAATCTCGTGCCACCGACATGCCGCCTACAAAAGTTCCCGACTTGCAACGATGCAAAGCCGCCAACGAAGTCGCCGACTACAAACCCGCCCGGCTTTGTCGCCGGGTTGGCGGGCTCGGGGTGTAGAAAGCTTAATAATATATACACTGATTTAAACTTTCACGATTTTCACACACTATTTGAATTTTAAATTCGGAATTTAATCGTGTATAAAATGATAAAAGCATATTTTATTTACCTCGACGTTTCGGACGTATTGCAACGTCCGTAATCTCGAATTTAAAATCAAATAATTTAATATAAAATGAAACGTAAGTTTACTTTCATATTTTTTTTGTTCACAGTTAATAAAGACGTCATACAGCTGTCTCACACTTTTACTTCAAAGTCAGAAAGATTAAAATAATTAGTTCATCCTAATGGACACGAGTCTCCCAAGGAGAACTTTTAAGGCCGTTATTTTAACAACAACGATTTTGAAAAGCCAGCACTTGATATTAACATATACGAAACATAAATGAAGACGTATTCAAGTATTTTATGAATTCAGAATTTCACGATGTAGTTTTCACACGGCCAAGTTTATATAAAGCTATGGTAGAAATGTAAGAGGTATTTAAAATTTTCTAGAATTTGCACCCTGGGATGCGGCAACTGTTCTTCTAAATTTGTCCCTATCTACCGACCCGAGAGATAGAGAGTTCTAGGGAGACTACGGGTACAGCGGGTGTCTAGGCCAAGCTCTCCGTCAGTAATAATACGCCTTAGGGCGTCACTGGTGGACCCGGATTTGGACATGGACTCGCCGGGGTTTACGGTTAGCTGCAGAAACGGACATGTTTGTCTGCTCCGGTGGTGGTGTGTGGCCGGGGCATTTGTCTCGTGCGCAGCTAGCGCGTCTTAGTAGTGGTTTCGATGAGGGCCTACGGCGAGGAGACGCGCGGGCACGTGAGTTGCCCTTTAATTTGGAAGCTATGTCCGAATATTGTCACAGGATACTCCGACTAACATCTCCAGCACTAGCCCGTAGAGCTAGTAGAGGATGAGCTGGACATGCTCCGGTTTCTACAGGCGCGTAGGTTTTTGGCAGCTGGAGAGACACTTCGGCGTTGGGAAGTGAGCGTGCTTACAGCTCCGCCATCAAAGAGGAGATTTGGTAGGGGGCCTCAGAGTCAACGGCTTAGCGGAGGCAACCGTTAGTTGTACCATGTACCACGGGAAGTGAGTTTGCCTACAGCTCCGATACCTATTTGGAAAATAGGGAGGGCACTGTACGTGCACCCGGTCGGCTCACTCGAGGCACTCTTGAGAACCGGATGAAGTCAGCGACAAAGGTCTGTGACAACCCTTTACACTGGCTGATCTGGGGCAGAATCTGAACATAGAAGGTTCCTGTGCACGCACAGGTTATGATCCCTTCTCATATACCCTAAGGGTCGGTAGGGAGGGTCGCTATAATCAAAAGTCATGGAGAAAGGTACGGGGATTGCGCTTTTAAACATTGTATGCAAATTAATAGTGGCGCGGCTGCAACTCCACAGTGGCGCTGCTACAGCGTTTCTATAAGCGTAGTACAGAAATAAATTGTACGAACGAAATTAGTCGACAATTATTTAATGCTTAAAGTCTGAAACACGCGTCGGGCGCGTGTCGCGTCGGGAGCACGACGGGTGTAATTTCGTGTATTTACGACGTGTACCCGACCCGACCCGCACCCGATGTCATTGTGTTTTACATTTAAATGGGAGAGTTATAACATTTCATTGATGTGTGCTTTGTTTCATGTAGATTGCGTTATTCTTATGACTCATGTGATAAAAGCACTTCTGACGTATGATCACATGTGCCTTTGTTATTCCAAGGGTACGAAGTATCAACATAGTGATATCTACATAAGTTTACATACGTAGATATGATAATGACACTGCTGTATGTATTTCACCAATTAGATTTGATTGATTTGCCCATTAATTATTAATATTAGTCGTAAACATTTGATTTGAAAATAATTGTAGCTTTAGCTGTAGTGTTTATTCATTTATTATAGCAATTAAGATGAATAAATAAATTAACAATTTACATCGGATTATCAATTGATTAAACGGTAATCCAAAAATCGTGACTGGTAGACAGAAAAAATGCTTAATAAAAGTGACAGTTAAAATCATGTCTGCGCTGAAGTCAGCCTGGCTGGCAGCAACAGCGCCCGCTTTGGAGAAATCCACAGGCAAATTGGAGTTAGCATTTTTTGAATGCGTCTATCGCACTACATATGCAACAGGTAACAAAATATCATCCACTATATACATTGACTTCTAGAAAATGAGTATTGAATACGAAGTTTCTACTCAATTATCTTTATAAGGCGACTTAATGGGCATGGACGAGATCGTTCCTTGACTTCTTAGACGCTATCTTTGCTCCATGGCTAGGTAATAGTCAAGTGTTAGTCCATTTCCTTTAAAAAAATGAACTAGGCAACCAGTAAATAAAATAAAGTAAGTAATTTGGCACGTGAAAATAGATAAATGTTAATTGATTTTGTTAGACCTTATAAGCAAGGTACAGTACTTTTGTAAAAACACTTTTGAATGGATTACTTGAATGCATCTATCCCATATAACAAATTTAGGATGTATAGTAAAAGGTGAAAATTGAAGTGATTATCATTATACGTAATAAGGCCTCGGGGTATAGAAACCTCGATCCGCAACGTCTCCGACGCCTTGCACTTGTTGGGGTTTTTCAATACAAAGGAAAGTAGTTTATCTTATAAAACACAACAGAATTGCATCAAAAGAAAGAGAAGCGGTTTACTTTCCACTGCTTTGATATCGATGTCTGATGTTTATAATTTGTATAAATTTCGATCTATTCTAGGCTTATCCTTCTCTGATAAACAAACCATGTACTACTACATCTACAGCTACACGGTCAAAGTGATTATCGTCCTTTTCATTGCCAGCGAGTTCTGGTATCTCTTCAGCATTTCCTCGAGTTTTGACACCGTTATTGATAACATCACTGTCACTGTTCTTCATTTTATTTATTTGTATCGATATAAGACTATGGTAAGTTGAGTTAAAGAGAGGAAATACGACATATAATAATAATATAATATAATACTCATAATAAGTTTATTGAATATCATGATATTTTAATACCATGTTATTCAATTACTTTTTGTGAAATTACTCCACTAGTTTGTTATAATTATTAATACACTGATCGAACCATAAGTAAAATTCCTTCGGTTCGACTGGATTCGAAACAGCGCCTTTAGTATACCGTGTCTGATGCACTCCCACCACTAACTGAGCTACCGCATAAACCAGCAGACCTTACAATTTTTTTACGTTCTTGCAGATCTTTGTTTTTGGTTTTTAATTAGTGAAAATTAAAATAATTAAAATTTAAATGTGTGTTGATTTGCAATCTCGCCATATTTAAGAATAAATAAAATTCTAAATCATTTAAAAATTTTAAAGAACATATTCTGTTCAGTAATCTGACTAATTGTTTTTAGTAAAGTTTTGCAAAACTATCTTTAAAAGGTATGCACCGCGCGAGGGCTGTGACCCCGACGGGGCCCGAGTGCTCGAACATAATCTTTCTCGACCGCTTAATTACCTATTTTTTATTATTATGATTACGCATTGTTATAATTTTGTTAGTTATTTACAATAATTAGGTAAGTTGACTGAAAATGACTGAAAATGTTTGTTTTTTTGTAAATTAGATTAATACTTACCAATTTTAGATCAAAACCTTCAAGTGTCCACCATCACTGTTTATGAAAATATTCGCACGTTGGCGAGAGTTTCGCTTCAACTTTCTGAACAGTAGTTTGCAAGCTGACTTACAAGTTTCAAAGCGGGGACAGTTTTTGAGTTGAGGTGGCGGAAATATTAAACAAAATAATACCAGGGTTATAACTTAATTAAACTCTTGGAAGTAGAAACCCTAGGTTAGTGTAGTACCAGAGCCCATTATTCATACAAAGCTATATTTTAAAAAAATGTACACCGAATGGAAAACTCAAAGGTTGGCATTTACCTCCTGGAACACGTTACCATAAGGGAGAGCCTTTAGTATTTTGGTAACTCAGTCAAGAGCCCTGCGTCAATTTAACCCACACCTAATATCTTCAATAACCTTTAACATAATTTCATCGCTGCTTTTCAAGAAAAATTGTCCAATTCAAATAGTTTCTTTTGTGACTTATTACTGAAACTAATTCAGGAAATGCTACATATTATTGTGAAATGAAGACTCTCATTTGTCAAAATTATCACGTGGTAATATTGAGATAATCTCTGCCTTTTTAAACCATCATCGAGATTAATTAGGTGTTCTTGAGATAATCGCCATTCGAAACAGCCACCAATATGTTTAAACATTTTTAAGTTCTAAACGGATAACTGAAAAATATTTACCATCAACAATAACATACTAAAACCTCCTTTTTTAATAAATCAGCAATGGAAATGGCATCTACGGCTTAATTACCCGGAAACCACAGCAATATTTCATAGGTTGGGGCTGCGTTTGTTTAAGAGTTAAGTCTTAAATTCTCGAATGAACATTGAAACAAAGAGCAATCCAACCTACATATTATTAACTTAATGTTTATTAACAATTTTGTCCAAGACAAAACCACTTTATTGATTTTCGAAAAATGATATATCTAACTCATTATAGTGTCATGTATTTTTTTGTACGGAGAAATCCAATAAACAGATTTATCTTAGTAACATCGATACACGTTTTAAATTAAGTAACTAATCTATTTACTTAAGTATTTATTAATATAACTTTTAAATTTTAATTAACAAAACAAAATAATGTGCATAAATCTATATAGATTTTTCGTACATAATTATTCAACATAAGCGACTGTATCGATGCAATCGCGCGTTTATATCGATGCAATCGTGTGTTCATATCGATGCAATCGCGCGTTTATATCGATGCAATGGTGCGTTTTATCGATGGAATCGCGCGTTTGTATCGATGCAATCGCGTATAAATCGCAAGTGTAGTAATTGCGCGTTTCAAACACGCGATTGCAAAGCACTCTTAGTTGCCAACCCAGCTTATTATATCATTGAAAAAAGCATGATAAGTATACTGTAATGAGGCACAGTCGATGCTCTAAAAAAACCTAACCCCATAACCGTCTATTTGGTTTTGAAAAGATCAGTGTGAAAAAATTGTTAAACAAAAACCTTGAACCTGTAAGCTGTTAAAATCGTTTCGCTATGATTTCCTTGTTGCACCATCACATAATGACTTTTTAAGCCAATTTGATATTTAATTACATAAATACAAATTTCAACCAGAAACCTTGAATTTCTTTACACTACTCTGTTTAATGCGTAAAAAGACTCTCGGAACCAAAAGGTCGCCTAAGAGTGAGATAACTTAGGGCATCAACTGTATGTCTCGATTTATTATTTTTTTTTTGTTTTCACATTAAGATGGGCTCGAAAGTTGTTTACAAAAAACTGGCTGCTTCATTGGACTCTCCGTATTTCGATGTTACTACAACCAGCAGGAAGAAAATACTACGACATTGGTTGAAAATGCAACACAAATGTATCTGGTTATTGCTTACAATCTCTTCGTGTGGTCTTGTTCTATGGTACGTACTTAAAGGTAATAATCATTAGATGGAAGAAATCCCTTTATGGGATAAGCTCTTCTTTGTACAATCACGTTTTATTTCTTTGTTAAAAATTTGTCTTGTTGTACAATATAATGTAAATGTAAATGTAATATAATTCTTACGCTGTTTGTTAGATCGACGGAATGGAAGGATGAATGGATGTAACTTTTTTACATAATTGTAACTTTTTCATAAAAGTAAACCGACCTCAAAAGTTCTTGGAATTACATCTATTTGTTTACAAGTTTTATTGAAATCGATTACCGGAAAGTGCGCGAAACCAGATTCATCCCCTAGTTTGCCACCCTTAGAAGTGGAATATTTTCTCCAAATTTAAATGGAACCAATACTGAGGTATCTTCTTTCCAACAAAAGAATAATCATCGAAACCTATCATCAAATGCCGGAGTAATAACAGTCCACTTGAGAACGCCTTTTGTTTAAATAGGATAAAAAGATATACATAAATATTTACAAATACGTGTCTATAATTTTTATAAACACAAGCACATATTATTATTATCACTTATTAGCATAAGGTGCTGAACTCTAAAATATGGCATCGTCGTCTGTCCATTATTCATATTTATATCATATTACGTCCATTTCGTAGCAGTAGAGCTACTTGTGAAATTTTTACTTATCCAGGTCGAGCAACGTTCAGGGCGCAAAATTTTTGTCGCGTAGTTTCGGCTAAAGTATTATGGATCGACTGAAAAAAATGTATAAAACCAAAACGATAGCTTTAAAATGCAATTCAGTCAAGTGTCCTTCAAAACCGGAACGCAGTAATGCTTACATTGCTGCTGGGCGTCACTACTTCCCTGGACGAACTCTTTCACAAGGAGCTCTACTACTACTAACTTATTCTATTACTAAATTATTCTTATTATTTTCAGGTATGTCCATCCTCTATCAGATGAAATAGAGTACAATTACCCGGCAACAGTTCGATTTCCATACGATTCGTTAGTGCGGACCACTGAGTGGTACATCGTTGCTTACATCGTCGTTTTGTTCATGTTCAATTACACTTCATATTTGGTAGTTATCACCGACCTCATAATGCAAGCCCAACTAATACCTCTGGTATGCCAGTATGCAGTTCTTTGTGACTGCTTTGAAAATATCATTACTGACTCTAGCAAGGGTTTTTCAGGTATAATATTTGGTCATATTTCTCGTCTATCATGCAACATTAAGTCAGAATATTGCGAGATGTTTGACAATAGCCAACATGTTGTTCACAGATTTAGACGATAAACAATTGTTTGCAAATGACAAATTTCAAAATATTTATTATTCTAGACTGAGAAAATTGGTGGAGCAGCATAAAATTATTTTAGCGTACGTATTTCATTTTTTACGAAACTTAATAATACAACTTTTCTTCAAATTATTTTTATTGAAAATTTCAGCCACACACAGGACCTAAGTCAGGCCCTAAGTGTTCCAATGTTAGGACAACTTTTGTCGAGTGGGATTCTCATGTGTTTGGCTGCTTACCAATTAACGGCGGTAAAAATATCATAATCTGAATTCCAATTTGTTACCTTTCTTATTAAATCCTTGTCACATCTTTTTTGCAGGCTCTGAATAAAAGCATGATCAAGACAATAATGAACTTCTTTTATTTAATATACAACATGTTTATGTTCTACCTCCTGTGCAATTGGTGCGATGAAATAAAATTACAGGTTAGTTTTCAAATGTTTGTTGACGGTGCCTACTTTGTTATTGTTACATTTCTTCTTACTACATAGATTTTAGGACTTTCGTGGTTATACACTAAGTGGTTATCTCTAATCACAGGTTTCTTACCACGGTATGATTTTTTTAAATTTTCTCTATATTTCGAAAAGGTTACATGCTCCATGGTCACGAGTTGACATTTCTTCTTACTGTTGTAACTTTACCAAATAATGTTTCTTAGGAAGCATTTGATATATCAATGTATTGTGTCAGTTATTTCCTTCCACTTATTATTGTATACAAGCCGATTTACACATGATATTTATTCTGTTTATGTAGAGTCAGCGGGTCGGCGACTCAGTTTATTTGTCTGGTTGGGAGCGTGGTGCAGTGGCGTTACCTGGCGTGCGTGCACGACTTATGATTATAGTGTCTAGAGCTTTCAAGCCTCTTGCTTTTTCCGCTGGTGGAATTTCCGATCTTTCATTAATCTCGTATACTACAGTAAGTTAACTTCCTTTTGTTTTATCCTTGCACAAACCATCTGTATAGTAATAATTTCCTAAGCAGGCACACCAATTATCAGGTCTCAAATTAAGGAGTACCAGAACAAAGGAATCCACTACCCAGAACACCCAAACCAGAATGAACTTAGAATAATTCGTTCCATCCAATCGCGTGATACAAGTTTGTTATAATTTGTGTCTTATTTGTTTAATTTTATTTATTTACACATTTTAAGAAAATTTACGGACAAATAATACAATTACACTTAAATACACCAATAGCGCTACACCGCAGTCCTTGAAGACAAAAGTTTTCGAGCAGTGCGTGTTGCCAGCAATGACCTGCGGCTCTGAGACGTGGTCACTTACTATGGGCTTCAAAAAAAAGCTCCAACTCACTCAACGAGCTATGGAGCGAGCAATGCTCGGTATTTCTCTACGTGATTGAATCAGAAATGAGGAGATGCGTAGAAGTAGAACAAAAGTCATGACATAGCTCAAAGTATGACATAGCAAATTGTAGTCGCAGTGAGCAGGTCACGTAGCTTGTGACGGCCTCCTACTAGATGGCCGGATGACCTGGTAAGGGCGGCGGGTAACATATGGATGCACATAGTACCAGATCGGCTAGTCTGAAAATCTTTGGGGGAGCCCTATGTTCAGCGGTAGACGTCTTCCGACTGATATGATGAGAACTTAAATATGAGTAATCCAATGCCATTTACGATTTTCCACCGACATGAAACAACATAAAGTCGAAAAGAAATATTTTAAAAAGAACAAAGTTGTATTATACATAAAAAACTACTAAGTAATTTATCAAATATTTAGATCAAAAAACTAGAATAGACAATTAGACAAAAGCCAGCGTAATCATCGCCAGTCACGCGATGTGTCAAAGTGACGTTTGGTAATTTCCCGCCTGATTGTGTCTATGCTTGTACAGAACAAATCAAATGATTCGCTCTGGACCTTTAGGAGGGAAAAGTGTCGTTTTTATTTTGAGTTTCAATTATTTTGTGAAATCTAGTTTAAAATGGAATAGGGTAGTGCTATTGTGCCTTAATCGAAGATTAAAACGCGAAATTATACGAATCTCGAACTAAAATACCCGTATCGGCCCGTTTTAAGGAATCCCGAGTCAATTCAAGCACGCCGCCTCAAATTGCCTATCCTCTTTGTGGCGGCCATATTTACAGAAACATAATTAAACTTCATGTTTAGGCTAATGGCTTTGCCAAAGCCTTAATAAATTTAAAAAAAAACAAATCAAATTCAGAGTGATTATCATATCATATTATTAAAAAGTCTCAATGCACGCACCATGTAAGTGTTTTGTCCATACTTAGCCTCATCTGTTGCACTGTTCTTGAATATCGTCGCCTTACTTTCACAAAACCGGTATTTTAAAGCACTAGTTACTGAAATGCAATAAATGGTTTGTATATACAAATTTTGCAGGCTGATTTCACATAACATTGCCTTCATATTTAGACACTAGCTTTTACCTATTCTTAAAGCAATGCATCGAAATGAACACCCTTGATAAGAAATTTAAAATAAATAGAAAGTTTTGCCATCTCCTCAATAATCACTTTTTATAAGATATGAGTTTAAGAAAGTAAGGCATCGATATGTAATTGCATATTGAAGATTATACGAGTAGCTCAGCCAAATATTTATAAATTTCGATTAAAACCCTATAAAATACATTAATTCACAAGCGATAAAATAGAGATGCTAACAAAATTTATAAACGCTTATTAGATACTATATTTGTTTTAATTAATAAACACATCGTATAGTTTTTAAAATTCTGGATCTATTTTTGAAAACAGGGTGTACTAAGACTTACGCACACCTTTATTGCCGTATACCCTTGTTTATTACCTCTGTAATCGGACAACTGTTCAGAAAGTATTTAAAATTAACCACAATTGATATAATACCGTCAAGAAAAATATTAATTAGTTTAAATAAAGCTTTTCAAGACCCTAAAACTATATTTAAATGTAATTTAAAAAAAAATACCGCGCGTTCGGCACCGTATGTCAACTCAGAACGTGAGACGTCATTAGTAGGTAAAAATCGAAACAAAAACCCACAGGAAATGCTTGGGCTGTGCCAGCAAGCCACAAACTTATACTGAAACTCTTTCCATTAGGATAGTCAGAGTCTGTCGGTCGCCACTTACAATATTCTTCTCACTAACTATCAATTTGATCTAAGAGTGTTCTTCGTGGCCGTCCTTTTCCGATATGCCTTCCACGTTAGCTCTTATATATGCCCAAACCATGGTACTGATTTTAATAAGCTCTTTATTTGCTTTTCAGTTGGTAAAAACATCGTACAGTGCTCTGACAGTTTTACTAAGTGTTCGTCAGCGTCATATGTCATAAAATACAAGACTAAGTCAGTATTAAAATTTAATATATTAAGATTTGAATTTAGCTATACTGAAATGTGTTGTTGGCATATGTCTGTAGTCGCTTAATTTTGATAAATGTGTCAATTCAATCGCCACGAACGTTCGTCGAAACCTGCATGGCAATCGTAAAACAGCACTCATGAAACCTGCCTGTATAGTGGATAACATTGTACTGGACATTATTATAAACGGGACGGCACGGCAGGGAATTATTAGGTGACAATTGGTAATTTATTATAGTAGTTTATGTGACTGTTACATAATGAAAACCATTAAAATATGAGTGTGGGTTTAAAACATCACACGAGTGTTTTAATACCTAATTATGTACAGTTACATACACTGCTTTATTTATACACATATTATAAGCTCTCTATGATGTGTTTTTTTTAATTAGATGGATTTGCTGTTTACCACTACTACTACTTAGTAGTAGTAGTAGTGGTAGAGCTAGTGCTCTAGAGCAAAGATAGGATCTACGATGGAACGAGCTTGCCCAGAAGACGCCTATTTAGTCGCACCTTAAAGATACCCGGGTTGTATGAATTCGGAAATACAGACGCAGGCAAGGAATTCCATTCCTGGGCTGTGCTCCTAACAAAAGATGATGAAGAAGCGCTTAGTACGCCTGAAGGGAATATCGAACAAGTAAGGACGATATTCCGCCGTACGTCTGGATGTCCGATGGTAAAAGGGGGCGGGCGGGATGAGCTGATGGAGCTCGTGGGCACACTCACCGAAATATATTCTGTAAAAAACCGACAGACGGGCAACTTTGCATCGGTGGGCCAAACTGTGAACTTTAAATTCGAACTTAACGTCGCCAATAAGTCTCCTGGCTCTGCGCTCAATCGAACCAAGAGCCTGATGATACCCAGTTTTTTGGCTGCAATTTGTGCCTTACATTCAATATAAGCGCCAAAGTTAAGGGTTGCGCTCAATGTTATGCCAAGGAGATCTAGGCTGTCGGTAAGAGAGACAGATATACCCCGAAAAGTGGGAGTCGCAGTAAACAGACAGGCCTGCATTTTGGTTTTGTGTTCAGGAACCGCATGTCACGACTGGCAAAATGGCGGTAAATAAAAACTTTTCTCACGCATGTCACACAACAGTAGATTTTTTAAATTCATAGACAAACTAGAGTCGGCCCCAATGATCATATCGTGACGTGTGAAATTTGTCAAAATTGTTTGCTATTGAAATTTCATTTCGATTATAACGTCTTCATCTCGACTGATTTTAGAATAGACGCCGAATCAAATTGTTTTGTTTTTCAGAGATGTTCGAAATTTGAACCGAGATTTAGGATACCGAGTCGGCAGCCACATAGTAGTAGCAGTAGAGCTCCTTGTGAAAGAGTTCGTCCAGGGAAGTACTGCCACCTTCCTATTTCTGCTGCCAAGTAATAATGTCAGTACGAGCACATGGGCCTTATCAATTTATGTGTCAAGGTGACGGGCACAGTGGCAGTGCCCCTCAGATCTTTGCGAGATAAAGCTCAGAGTGCCACTGCAACTGTTATGGACAGGCGTGTAGCTTATCATCAGGCGCACTACTTGTTCATCCCGTCACTTGATATTATAAAAAAAGCCTGCAGAATGCCTCGGCAACCGTCGGGATGATTCGGCATACTTCCAAAGGTAATTCACTCAGAGTCTTCTCCTTTTTGAAATATGGGTCTCTTCCTCTTTTAAAGCAAGACTACCATTTTTAAATACACAACTTGTAATAACTGTAAAGACTGATCTGAAGAGAGGCTCGGTGCAAGCACGATGTCGCGACGGTATACTTCGGTGTACCAAAGGATACTGCAGCACAATTACCATCAGTGGTACCATGCCGTTCCGTCGTTGAGCGCCGCGCCTTATATGTAGTTCTCCTAAATGGGGTCACATCAAAGATTCCAGCTTCAAAGTATTCTCAACCGCTGTAAAGAACACTTCAATAATCTTCTAGATTATCTTGATTATTTGGTGACTCTCGTTAGAATATAATGTCTTATAATAATAATTTTTCTTCTATTTATTGAACGTACCATTCGTTATTGCCTGGTGGTCGAGCTTCGGGTATGACGCATCCCGTAATCGCTCACCTCATAATCTAAATCGAGCACGCGCCGCAGGTCGAGCCCGACCCCACTGTAGTTGGCGTACGTATTTTATATGATTATGTCCATAAAATTGTTAGTAACAGTAGATACTTACAACTATGTTAATTAGTAATAATAATGCTCATATAAATAATATTATTTGCTTATAAATATATTATCAAGTCCACACAGAACTTTAGAATGGAACCATCAAACTTATTTATTAACCTAGATGTTTGTAAGCTGCAAGTAGTACCTTAAGGTTTGTATTGTATTGACTTGTATGTATTGAAGGTTGGCCTTTTATATGTGATGGTTATTCGTTTAATAAAAATTGAAATCATTAATCATGTCTAATTTAATTTCCATCCTTAACATCTACCTTTAACCTTTTTTTTGTAATACTTCTGAAAAGTTTCTCCTTGGCGTTTGACAGAACAACTTTCTTTACCGTAGTACCATTAGACAGTTCCATTGATGGTACTGTAGACTACGCATTATGATTTGTATTAGCGCTGGATGAATGAATGTACGTTTGTATTTGGAATTATACATAAGGCGTACCATAAGTTTCCGGAACTGGCTATTTACATAAACAATATTTAAAAAGTAATTACAACTTTTGAAAATGGAACTCTTTGGCTGTAGAATACAGCTTGTTTCATCTGACTGTCACTTGTTTTTACACTGTGGCGTCATTTTAGAAATTGGTTGTCTACATCACCATGGATTTAACTCGTGAAAATTTTCGTAGTATGATTTTCTACGACTTTCAAGTGTAGTTTAACAGTTCAGCGGAGCTTCGTTCGGCTTCAAACTGCTTTTGGCGATTAAGCACCATGCAAGACGACTATTTATAGCTGATTTACAGAATTCAAACGTGGTCGTGTGAATCTCAGTGACGAATTTCGTGATGGTCGCTCATCCACTGCTGTGAACAACAAAAACATGGATGCTGTGCGCCGTATGATCAAAACAGACAGACATGTGACATACCATGAGATTCGGTCATCTTTAGGCATAGGCATGAGTCAAATACAATCAATACTACACAAACATTTGGGTGTGAAAAAGCTGTGCTCTCGGTGGATCCCACACCGTTTGACTGAGGCTCAAAAAACGGATCGCGTCACTTCGGTGCAATGCCATGCTTACCAGATTCAACGAAGGGAGGTTAAATTTAGTGTAGAACATAGCAACAGGTGTCGAAACATGGATTTATAGTTACGATCCCAAAACAAAGCAGCAATCGAGCGTATAGGTCTTTCGAGATGAGCCGAAACCAACCAAAGTGGCGCGCGTGCAAATTGCCTCGCGCGGATGATTGCTTCTTTTTTAAATACAACTGGACGCGTGGCTACTGTTGTTTTGGAGAATCGTGGTACCGTGAATAGTCATTGGTACACGACCATTTGCTTGCCGGAAGTTATTGACAAACTCCGTTAAAATAACCGTAAATGCAGTATCTGCAAGATGATTGTGAGCCATCCAGCGTACAGTCCCGACCTGGCACCTTGTGACTTGTATTTATTTCCAAAAACTAAGAGCCAGTTACGCGGTCAACGATTTTCATCACCTGAAGAGGCTGTCGAAGAGTATGAAAAATATGTTTCAGAGATTGTCACGTAGGAGTGGCATAAATGTTTTCAAACTTTGTTCATTCGTATGAAAAAGTGCATTAACGCTAACGGAGAATATTCTCCGTTAGCGTTATCCATTTCTAACCATTTATAGTATTTTTTTCTTATTCATTCCTGAAACTTATAGTGCGCCACACGTATATATAAAAAAAGAAAACACGCAGTAATTCTTTATTCATGAGTATAATGCTCGTTTATCATTGAAAAGTGCCTCTCGCTACGCTAACTCAGGACTATGTCCCTTACAGTACAGAGGCCATTTTTTTTATGCCGTCACCGTTGACAGTTCCAAGGCAAATGTTGTTTTTTGTTATCCGTAGTACCTACAGTAAGGAATTAAGTGATAAGGACCAGAAACAAAAAAGAAATTATTTTTTAAATTTATTTATCAAATGAAATTACAATAATTTTTTGAAATAAATCGTTGCATCAAATCAAATAAAATAAAATAAAGAGAAAGTTTTAAACCTCTCTTTAACCCTCTCTTATCTGACGGTTCTAACACGTACTGTCTACTTTCCTGCCACATGCGAGTCCGTCTCTTATGCACCAGTGTGTTCAATAGCCAATTTTACATTTAACAAATGCAAAAAAATGAATAACTGCCAGTACGAAATATACGAGAAAGATATTAAAAATGTGTATATTAATGTACGAGTAAATATACATTTATATTTGTAATAATGTAATAATCACAACTTGTTTTGCCGTAGTATATTCAAAGGTATGAGTTAAAAAAAAAACTTTACACCATTAATGGGACAGTGGGAAAAAAAATTACCTAAGCACCATCAATGGAACTGTCTGATGATACTACAAAGAAAGGACAGAACATAAGAAGAATTTTTGTATTTCTGTAGCGTGTGGTTTTTAGCACAAATTCAGAAAGCGGCGCTGTTCGATACAACAAGTAACGTTCTTTAATTCTTGAACTTGAGTCTCCCACCTCAGCCGATAACGCCATTAAAAAAATTCAAAATAAATATAATTTAGGCCATAGGAGATGAGAATATGAAACAGATGCCCAAAGTGATAACAAAAATAATGTGTCAGACAACCATAGCAATCACGGGGTCTCGAACTAGGTAAACTAAGCTATGAGTACCAGAGATCCCAGAACCGCCAGCCCAGAGAGTTCGTATCCCAAATTGATCTTTACGAACGAACTCGTGCACTATCTAATTGATATGAGGACCTTGATTTAACGTCAAAACTGACAGACAGGCAATATAAGCGGAATGTTCCTGGTTGGCGGACCGGACGGTTAGCCATTTTTTTTCCACATGGTATAAAATATTTATGGATATAAACTTTTGCAAGACATTTTCCACTTTTCCTTTTTCACGGTTTTCCAAAATCCATAAAAATATTAGTCTTTAAAAAATGGCGTTGGACCCTTTTATATAAAAATTTACGAGATGCTGAGCCGGATTAATTTTTAACCGACTTCAAAAAAGGAGGAGGTTCTCAATTCGACTGTATTTTTTTTGTATGTATATTACGCGATAACTCCGGTATTTGTGAACGGATTTTCATGATTCTTTTTATGTTCGAAAGAGGGTTGTCGCCACGTTTTATATCCTACATGTTTTGTCATGATGTCGGATAGCCTTGGTTCAATGTAATGTCAATTCTCATATGCGACAAAGTCTCATGCTTAATAATATGATAACATAGAGATATAGGGATTTATAATTGCGCTAATGCATACTACAATTATCGTTAAACCTTCTGCGTGCCTCGACCGACACCACAAGTAAACCCGAGAGCCACATAGTGGTAGGATCCTCTCATCAGACGGGCACACCTGTTGCCAAGAGCGACGCGCAGAAGGTTGGGGCCCTGAGGCCCCTTGTTGATCCTCCACCTTCCCCTTAGATCAACCCAAACCTCCAGCAAGATACAATAATCCTTTCATCTATATCTCAATATTACCATATCTCTTTATTAGTACAAACACTCACCAGATTAGAAAACACTTCACCATCTGCTTCGCACTAACTACACCTCCTCTCACCCTTTTGCTACTCTAAAAACTAATCTCCGTCTTTTTTCTCTCTAACGTTCCTTTCCATTTTAAACATTTTTCATTCCCCCATTCCTCCCTTTGTGTTGCCATTTTTAACATTCCGTTCAGAAAGAATATAGGCGCTCACCAGTAGCTGTCAATCGCGATCGTACGCGACACTCCCGGCGGCGGCTTGGCTTACAGCAAGGCGAACAGCTGCCGAGTCCACTCAGCAATCTTCTCCCTCGCTCGTACAGCTGCGTTGCGCCTTACTCTCCCATCCTCCGCTGGAGACTCAGGTCCGTCCTCTGCTGAAGACTCAGGTCTACCATCGTTATTGTCCTGATTGGAAAGTTCTGCACCAGGAGCATCTACTGGGGATGTATTCACAAGCTCATCTCCTACGTCATTCATTTGATCCTGATGTGATCCAGTTATTTCTTCAATAACTCCTCCAAGTTGCTCTACATCCATGGCTACTTGATCTTGAAGAGGGTAGGCAGGTATTTGGTCAAGCTCCACTGCCGTAGGAACTTCAGGTACTTCAGGTAGGTTTACACTATTAGGTGCACCGTTATGTTCACTCACAACTTCGGCTTCGAGTGGGTAGAGATGACCAATAGAGCGAATGAAATCAGTATTTTCCACTCTGACTCTTGCCACTCTAACTTCTCCGTCCGATCCTTTGATCAACTCTGATATCCTTCCAACTTTCCATTGATTCCGGTTTTTCTGTTCACCTTTAATTTGCACTATATCGCCTACACAAGGTTTGATGTGTGACATTACTCTGGGTTGTTTGGGCGAGTGCTGATACTTTTCTCTAAGGTTGAGATATAAACATGTTCTTAAACTCTTTCATCACTTTCTGGCCCCTTCTCCATCCTTCAACGAGTGTTTCCTTTGTAATGGTTGCAGGAGTCAACTGGTCAATAGGCAGATCTGACTCTAAACATTTACCCATCGATAAAAAGTCTGCCGGTTTCAAAACATAGTCCACGTCTGCTCCCACATAAGTAAGAGGTCTTGTATTGACTACGGCTTCCACTTCCTTCAGGACCGTCAACAGCTGGTGGTCGCTCAACAGGTGCTTCTCCAATGTCCTCTTCAAACAGTGTTTCACCACCGATACAAGTCGCTTGTATACGCCACCATGCCAGGGTGCTAATTGTGGTATACATTTCCAAGAGATCTTATTTTGTGTACAGTAGTTACTTGACAAGACTTCAGACATCAATTTAAACTGCATCGCGTTGTCAGACATAATATGTGAAGGGGCTCCTCTGGAAGCCACAAATCGCCTAAGTGCCAGTAGGAATTCCTCCGCTCTCATATCTTGTACTACCTCCAGATGAATGGCTCGTACCACCAGGCATGTAAATAAGCAGATCCACCTCTTTTCTTTGCCATTACTTGTTTCAACATGCATTGGGCCAAAGTAGTCTACGCCTGTATATGTAAATGGACTTGAATACTTTACTCTTTCAACTGGCAGAGCCGGGGTTTTAGGCAGCTGGTATGGGCCTCCGCCGTGCTTAATACACTGTGGGCATTTTTGAATAACCTTTCGAACCTGTACTCGGCCTTGAGGTATCCAATATCGGTGACGTATTACAATCAGTGTATGTGGTACGCCTACATGGTAGTGCCTTTCATGAGCATCTTTTATTATCTTTGTCGTGAATTCACAATCCTTCGGTAGTAAGATCGGATGCTGAGTTTCGTATGATAAGTCCGCGTGCATCAAACGACCTTTACAACGAAGAATACCGTCTACATCTTTAAACAATCCTAGGTTTCGAGTCAGATGTGTTTCTTTGCCCTTGAATTCTTCAGGAAAGTGACTGGATTGCAAATCTATGATTTCCTGTAGTTGAGAGTTCATCTGTACCGCTGACTGTGTCCTCTCAATTTCTTCACTAGGACCATCGTCGAGAATTAGTGTCTGTACCTCGTCCAGACCCTCCGCCGCTGCTGAAACAGACACGACGTGGTCTTCCAGGTGCATATTTCTCGGCCACGTTCTTTTGTCTGCGGCAAGGAATGCTGGTCCATGGAACCATAAATGTTTTTTCTCAATCCATGTTTCTGGCCTAGTTGCAATATCTGCAGGATTATGCTCCGTGTTGATGTAGCACCGATGTACTTCCATGTTCTGTTTTATTTCTTCCACTCTTCTTGTAACAAATGGAGGCAATAACTTTTTAGATTCTATCCAACTGAGAACGACCAGACTATCAGTCCAAAGAAATTGTCTAACATTAGGGAGTGCTATGGACTTCACTAGGTAGGTGAGCAGTCTGTTACCAATCAAATAACCAAGCAACTATAACCTTGGTATCTTTAAGTTTTCTTTATCTTTAGTGGAGCTACACGAGCTTTGGACATTAGCAGTGTCACTTGAACGCCACTTGTATCTTCAGATCGTAGATACGCAACAGCTGCATAAGAGTTTTGGCTTGCGTCAGTGAAACAGTGTAGCTCAAACTTAGCGTTTTCCTTTTCCTTATCATGGCCTAGATGTCTTGGTAATTTAATATGTTTAATGTCGCTTAAATTTGACACTGTGTCTTTCCACTGAGATAGAAGATCTTCAGGTAGTTTGGTTTCCCATCTGTACTTTTTTCGCCATAGTTCTTGAAGTAAAAGCTTAGCCGGCATTGTCAAAGGAGACACAAAGCCACAAGGGTCGTAAACGGAGGCTAAAGTTCTTAAAACTTCTCTCTTGTTAGCTTTCAATATCCTTGTCTCATTAAATATGTCCTCCTTGAGTTTCAACTGAAGTGTATCGTCTTCTACATTCCAAAGTAAACCTAATACCTTGACTTGGTCTAATTCTTTGGCCCTATATTGCTCAGGTATTTCCTTCATTAGGGATTTATCATTGGAAGTCCAATCTCGAATATTCATTGACAATTCTTGGAATGCGGTTATTGGCACTCGTAACTAAATTGTCCACATAGCATTTATCTGCAATACGTTCCAGAATACCACCATTCTTCTTAGACAAGTGGTAACGTATAGTAGCTGTGAGTAGAAAGGGGCTAGAAATAATGCCGAATGGTACACGACAGAATCTCAGGTGAATAAGATTGTCATCTGAAATCGGTTTCGTGATATCTTTTATCCATAGAAACCGAGTCACGTCTCTAGCTTCAGGCTGTAACCCAACTTGTAAAAAAGCTTTTTCAACATCCGCAAGTATCCCAATTTTATTTGTTCTGAAGTTCAATAATAAGGCAGTCAAGTCTTGTAGCATACATGGCCCTTTGTACATGCATTCATTCAAACTTCGCTGGTTCTTTAACTTCGCAGATGCATCGTATACCACGCGTCCTCGCTTACCGGCTTGTTTTATTAAATGATGCGGTAAATAATGAATCGGAGGTCCTTTTTCATTTTCTGCATTCATTTGTGGGTCTATTACTTCGATAATTCCGGAGTCACATTGTTCCCTCAATATCTCGTCATATTCTTGTAATGTAGCAAAATCTGAACGTTGTAATAAACCTTTTAGTCTACCATAAGCTAAGCCATAATTTGTTGGTAAGTTTGAAGTATGCTGCGTCCATGGCCATTTTACATAGTACCTCCCTTCATGGTACTGAACTGTATCATTAAAATGATGAACGGCTTCCTCTTCTCGTGTTGTTTTTGCAGAGTCGGTTATGCCAATATTCTCTAAAGTCCACAAGAATTTGATGTCCATATTTTGTAGAGGCAGGTCAGGGTCAGTAAAATATGAATAACCTGGATCAGATTGGTGGTATGTCACTACTGTGAGGGTATCTTCATCTTTGCCAGTATCCACACAGTCTGATAAAATCCAGCCAAATTCAGTATCAGCCAAATATAACTCTTCATCCAACTTAATCCTTTTCCCTGTGATAAATGAGAAGTAATAATCATTACCGATAAGAATGTCAATTCCTTGACCACCCGAGCCATCATCAGCCATGACATCGACTGAGTCTAAGGAAGTTATCTGTGGTACCGGTATCCTCTCTGTAATGTTGGGTACAATATTGACCTGTATCTGTTTTTGTATGCTTCTATTAGTTTCTATTGTGATCTCGATTGAAGGGCTGAGCATTTCCAAAGGGTTTTCTGATCCAAAGGTGTAAATCATTAGCAGGTCTTCTCCAGAAGGTGTTATGGATAGCAGGTTTGCTAGGCGTGTAGTTATGTAGCTTCTCTGGCTACCACTATCCATGAGAATTCTGCAAGGATGTTTCTTATTGTTACTCAGGACCCTTGCCGTTGCCGTCTGTAAGAAGGATCTACAGCTATGACTGTGACATGTAACATTTGGTATTTTAGTAAGACCAGTATTCGTACCTGATATCTTCTTACGACATAGGGCGCGGTTATGGGGTCCTGCGCAGTGGTAGCATATTATCCTTTTTTGACACTGCTTACTTCTGTGTCCTTCTTGAAAGCATTTGAAGCACTCATTCCCTATCTTCTTGATTCTCTCTTCCATACCTTTAAAGGTATTATACTGGTCATTATAATGTCCACCATCACAGAATATGCAGGACCTACGTGTCCTTTTCACATTGCTATCTGCACCAGTTGTAATATTTCGCTTCAATTGTATTTTGTCAGCTGTCGATGTTCCAGTTTTTAACTTATTGTTATGCCAGTTCCTTCCTTTATTGCGCGTTTGTGTCCGTATGTGTAGGGCATCCGTTGAGCATGTAGGTCTGTTTTCTGACACCACATCTGACTTTGCTTGAGATAATTCCATTGCAGTAATTATGTTATCAAGCTGTTCTCGTATTGCTAAGACTGTACTATCCCTTTTAATAGCAATATTCAACTGAAACATTACTTTCTCTGGAAACTTGTTCAGCAATATAGTCCGGAACCCATTGCCATTTATGTCCTCGCCCAGTGACTGCAGCACTCTCATATTTTTCTCAACGCTGTTGAGGACTCGTCTACAATCACTAGGTGTCTCCTTAGCACACTCCAACTGATGTAGCGCATTGTAGTGGGCATCAACTAGGAACTGCTTGTTGCCGTACCGGTTTTTTAAAGTTTCTACTGCAATGTCGTAGTTTTGGTTGGTTGTTCCCAAACCCTCAATAGCTTCTAGAGTTGAACCTCTCAGTGACGCAACAAGGTAGGCCATCTTCAATGCGTTGTTGGTGGTTGCCATGTGCACACTTGCTTCGAACTGGTCCCAAAAATCATGCCACTTAAGAATATCTCCTTCAAATACAGGCAGTTGTAGTTTGGGCAGTTTTGCACAATTACTCTGCCTCGGCTGCTCGCATTGTTCTTGTGAAAGGTACATAATGGCCTTTTCAGCTTTGAGTTCCAGTTCTGTATAGTCCTTAATTATATCCGTTGATACTTCAGCAATCTTATCAATGTAGCGGAGAACTTCTTCCTTGAACTTTGATGTGACTACACTCAACTCATATTTGATCCTCTTGACTTCTGACAAATCAGCTCCTCCATGTTCAACCTGTCTCAACACCTCCAAAGCCTTAAGAAAGGTTGCATTCAGCTGATTCTTGCTAAGCTCAAGCCGTATACGAAGAGCCTGTTCCATTTTGCTTTCCTCTATGTGACGCTAACTCCAAGTTTTTTAGCGATTTGCAACGAGTACTTCTCTTAGGCAAACTTTAAATTCTTAAAACTTGAACTAGCGTAATTCCAATTACACACTAATTAAATCTTCAAATTTAATCGTCCGAAAGTAGTGGTATTTTCGAGGTGCCGACTGTAATAAACTCAGTATCATTTAGATGCACATAGAAACACCATATAAAATTCAACATAAAAAATGGCTACTTTTACCACATATTCGTACCAGAAATTTTTCTACGAATATTTGAATATCTCGGTTTTAAACAACTCCCTGTCCACCATTCAAGGACGCTACGCTCAGTATTTCCAAATTTGTATAATATAACTTCCGTAACACGCGTTTTCATATAGCTACCAAACTTTTCACAGCACACGAAAATTTTCACTGCTAACTTAAAACTTTTACGAAACAAACAAGTTGTTTTTCTTTCTTTACCGGAAATCACGAAACCACGCGGTGTTTCGTTTTTAATGTACACTTATTCGTCCGACGACGAAAAATCGACCAATCACAAAATTACATTAAGTATAAACAACCAATAAGGGCACAGATATGATACTCGAAATAGCGTTTCGTATTCTCATATATATTTTAGCCAACAAGAACAGACCGCAACAAATTTTTTTTTTTTTTTACGGGCATGTGCTAATAAATAAAAACGCAACAATATTCCTCTATTTTTCAATAAAGCTAACACTACTGTTAATTAAAATATATGTTTGATACTTACATATATTTTAATAAATCTAAGGCCTTAATCTACTAGATATACATTTCATGCGAAGGTTTAAAACCAATTATAACATTACTTTCACATTTGTCAATAAGCAACGTCAGTACAACTTGAAAATGTAACTTTATTGAACTGAAACCTTTGTATTTTGTACCAAGTAATTCTTTCCATTATGCCAGTGCGTTGTTACTGTTAAATCCAAGTGCATGCCGAGAGTGCGACCTCGGCAGCGGCAACATGAGGTTCGCACACCATCACGTGCCCCAAACTCATATTATACCGACTAGATTAGCGGCTACTCAGGGCATGTTAGCCAGTACGAATCCTGTATTTTCTCCTTGTTACCTATCAGCAGAGAACGTCGAAGGACCGCTAATCAGAGGAAACCAATATCTCTGGTTAGCAACGCGTGAAGCTCGCAAGCTACCACACGCCTGTCTTATACCTCGACGGCTGACGGAATGGACTCACTCTGGTATACTGTAACTGCTGGCGAGGGGACTCCTAACTATCCCGATGCCAGCAGCGCGTGGAGGACGCCACCCGTCACGTGCCTTGTCACAGCATGCCATTCGACTGCTACGCGCCTGTCGATTTACTGGCGGCTACCAGAGTTGGTCTTTCTCTCCGCCAGCAGCACAATAACTCAACATGTGCCCTCTCTCTATCTAGCAACGGCTGACCCAGAATTCGTCTCTGGACAGCAGCAAGTGGGGGACGCTGCCCGTCACTTGCCTGTCGCCATCCCTACCTACACTAATTACTTAAAGACAACATCTTATTACTCTGTGTTACTTTAACCAGCACCTCCACCAATTTTGTCGCCACGTTTTATATCCTACATGTTTTGTCATGATGTCGGATAGCCTTGGTTCAATGTAATGTCAATTCTCATATGCGACAAAGTCTCATGCTTAATAATATGATAACATAGAGATATAGGGATTTATAATTGCGCTAATGCATACTACAATTATCGTTAAACCTTCTGCGTGTCTCGACCGACACCACAAGTAAACCCGAGAGCCACATAGTGGTAGGATCCTCTCATCAGACGGGCACACCTGTTGCCAAGAGCGACGCGCAGAAGGTTGGGGCCCTGAGGCCCCTTGTTGATCCTCCACCTTCCCCTTAGATCAACCCAAACCTCCAGCAAGATACAATAATCCTTTCATCTATATCTCAATATTACCATATCTCTTTATTAGTACAAACACTCACCAGATTAGAAAACACTTCACCATCTGCTTCGCACTAACTACACCTCCTCTCACCCTTTTGCTACTCTAAAAACTAATCTCCGTCTTTTTTCTCTCTAACGTTCCTTTCCATTTTAAACATTTTTCATTCCCCCCATTCCTCCCTTTGTGTTGCCATTTTTAACATTCCGTTCAGAAAGAATATAGGCGCTCACCAGTAGCTGTCAATCGCGATCGTACGCGACAAGGGTACCTCCATAGTGGTTCCATTTAATTTTGAAGAAAATCATCCACCTCTAAGGGTGGCTGTTCACGCATGAAGATTCATTTTTATAAATAGCGCCTAAATTTTATTGTAAGGAGCAATTATTTTAATGGTTGTTTTGCTATTCTCCAATTCAAGGCGTTTTTGTCTCTCAATATACTTTGAGTAGTGAGAACCGATTTTTATTATCTCCTGTGCCAAGTCCCGTCTAGTGGTGAACTAGGGGATGAAACCAGGCTTACTCACTTTCCGGTAACCGATTTCAATAAAACTTGGTAATTATATGTAATTCCACGTACTTTTGAAGTCGGTTTTTTTAGTACTACGGACTGAGATTATTATGAAACTGTATAATTCACCGCATTCCGATTGCATTTTGTGACTCACCATGTAATCCATTTAATAGATCACATTTTTCGATTGCTTGTAATATGACCACTCGATGACACTCTGCCGCTTCCGCTGCTAACTAGTGTTATCAGTGTAAACATTATTATTAATGATGTAAACAATGTTGTAAAGTTTTTATTTGCAGCTTTCTTTTTAATTGTAGTTTGTGGTTTAGTTATCGGTATGTTGCGTTGTGGTATGGTCGGTGACGTAGTATTCGCCTCTTGTAAAGATTCAGCTTCCAGAGGAAGCAGTGATAGTTTCACGATAGGGCGTTTGATAACGCCAATTTACGTCTTGACAGTAGTGACTCACACAAGGGCATCGGAACCTGGATGGAGCTTTATAATGCGCCCCATGGCCCATTTTCCTGGAGGTAAGTTGTTCTCCTTCACCAAACAATATGCCCTTTTCTTTGAAGTTTGTAGTTGTCTTGTTCCACTTGCTGCGACTTTGAAGTTAAGTACTCGTTGAACCAGCTTTTCCAAAATTGATGAAGCATTTTTTCAGTTAATTGCCATCGTCGCCGCAAGTCAACATGTCTGTCATCAGTGTAATCAGAGAAGGGTAGCGACATCACGGCACCGCCAGTTAGAAAGCGTCCCGGTGTTAAGTAGTTGTAAAATTCTTCCGGGTCTTCTGTTAGTGCACACAGAGGCCGTGAATTCATATCTGTTTCGATTTTTGTCAGCAGCGTTGACAATTCTTCATATGCGAGTTTCTGATCACGAAGTACGCATCTCAGATGGTGTTTAATGATCTTACAGCAGCCTCTCAGAGTCCATCTGCACTCGGTCATGCAGGGGCATTGAAGTGCCAATTAACTTCAAGTTTCCCGATATCTGTGAAAAATTCAGGTGAAAGAATTTATTTGAAGTGTTTAAATTCTTCCCGAAGCAACTTAGCAGCGCCAATCCTTAGGTGGCTGGTTCATATCCGGTTCGAAGGACCAAAATGTATGGGCCACCTTACTCCATACATGGATTGTAGTGGTAGTAGCAGAGAAAGACTTGCAAAGACAACGGTAAAAGTATATTGTACGTAAAAATACAGATACTACGGTGGCAAATCTTTTCTCGATGTCGTGTATAGGTGGACAGTTGGTAAAGTACTACGTGAAGATACAGAGTATGAATTGCATATTTAAATAAAAGTGCGGCACGTGGTTAAAGTACATCGCCGCGTGCGCAGAGTTATACTGAAGAATGTATGAAACCATACACTCACATAAAAGAATACTATATGCATAACTCGGCAGTTCTATTGCGATAGTAGAAAAAATAAAATCGCATGATTCTATGTCCAGATTCGGAATGCCAGGGACCTTGGTATGCGGTAATGGCACAGCTTTTTGTTCAGTGGAATGTAAATAAATTTCGGTAGATTCTTTTATGCGAAAATTTACGAGCTGTCGAACTTGTTTAATTTTGAAACTATTTTATTTATTTATTTTCAAAACTCAATCTATTATTACTGGTTATCTTAATGCTATAAACCAGAAAAATTACTACATGTAAATATTAAGATGTAAAAGTTCTATTATGGGCCAATTTGTTCCATACATGTGCTGCAGTGGTAGTACGCAGAGAAAGACTTGCAAAAAAAATGGTAAAAGTATTTTGATATAAAATACAGGTGTTATGTTGGCAAATCTTTCCTTGATGTAGTGTATCGACTGACAGTTGGTAATGTACTACGTAAAATAAAGTATGAATTACGTGTTCAAGTGCGGCACGTGGCGTTAGCACCTCGCCGCGTGCATAAACTTATAGCGAAGAATGTATGAGCCATATACATGTTGGCAACCCAAAAGAAATTGTTAAAGTAAACAATTATGAATATAAGGACTAACAAGGTAAAGATATGACAGCACAAAGAAAAAAAAACAATTATCGAAATTGTACGCATTGTACTTTTTAGCAGTACAATGTAGGCGAGGGCGCATGATCCGTGACTGCGGGCTCGACTCCCTCTGTACCACTCGCTGTACACTGGGACACTGCAGTTCCATATCGTCTATATAGGCAACTCCTGTCTGCTACGACTGCGGCACATCCGGTGACGCGGCGCGCCACACTCAGGCAGAGTGAGCAGCTTCGGGCACTCAGCGGCACTCCTTGAATGCCATAGTGGGAGAAGATCTCTCGCTGCTAACTATCATGGGCGCATTGCTCGATTGCGAGAGATGCTTGGAGGCAATGGTCTCCTTTTGCGAGAGTGTAATTTCGCATTGGGCCTCGAAGCGGCTTAGTTAGGACGACCCACTTGCTAAACCGCTTCGGAGACGACAGTCGGGGAGATAAAGGAGGCAGTGCGCCCACCTTCTTCCCCCGCTGTAGACTGGAGTCGGGGGACCCTTACCACCAAGTTTGAGGGTGCCCTTATACCCCGGGGCGCTGGGGCGTCTCTCTATGGTGGTGGGGTTAACCGGTGGGTTTTAGTGGGTCGCTCGCTGTTCCCTCGAAACGAGTGGTATAGTAACGCATTTCCTAGTGTCAAAAAAAGGTTTGGAATCTTTAGTATACAGTATTTGAAAATGAACAGCCTCAGATATTTTGTGGACGTATTAGGAAAACAAAAATTTGGGCGCTTAGACCCCACAACAATGTGAAATGAATTAATTTAACTAAATTAAAGAGAACAATTTATACCTGGCTTCTTTGTCTTCTTTATCTGGCTTCGGTTAAAAAATATAAGATATAACATTAATGCGAGTGATAAACGGGGACAACCTCCACCTGATTTAAAAATGTTAGTTATTACTCAGACATTATTATGAATTGTTTTTGTAATATTTTATAGAGTTGTATTTGTTGTATCTATTTACCGTTCAACTAGAAGACGTTTTCAGGTTCTGAACTGGGAAGGGCTAGGCATCGACATTAATCGCCAGTACATCATTCACCTTCGTTTCGCCGATGATATAGTATGGCTGAGACCATTGAGGACCTCAGTACAATGCTTGATGACCTCAGTAGAGCCTCCGAAAGAGTCGGTCTTAAAATGAACATGGACAGACGAAGATCTTGTCGAATAACCATGTACGGCCAACTACCGTGAAGATCGGAAACTCTACACTCGAAGTTGCTGATGATTATGTGTACCTAGGACAAATTATCTAGTGGTTAGGTAGATCCAACTTCGACAAAGAGGTCAATCGTCCAATCCGACTCGGGTAGGCAGCGTTCGGGAAATTACGCCTTATTTTTTTTCTAAGTTCTTGTCTAACATACCACAGTATCTCAATACAAAAGTCTTCGACTAGTGTGTGTTGCCAGTGATGACTTACGGCACTGAGACGTGGTCCCTCACTATAGACCTCATAAGAAGGCTCTAGGTCACTCAAAGGGCAATGGAAAGGGCTTTGCTCGGAGTTTCGTTGCGAAATCTAATCAATAATGAAGATATCCGCAAGGGAACCAGAGTAACCGACATAGCTCTAAGAATTGCAAAACTTAAGTGGTAATGGCAGAGCACATTGCTCGCAGAACAGATGGTCGAAGGGGCTGAAGAGTTCTCGAGTGGTGACTGCGCAAAAGTAGACGCGGCGTGGGCAGACCGGGTGGTCTGCACAAGGTGGTCTGACGATGTAGTGAAGGCAGCGGGAATCTGCAGGACAGATCGTTGTGGCATTCTTTGGGGGAGGCATATGTACAGCAGTGGACGTGGTGATGATGATGATAGAATTGTCTTGTTATAAGTAAGAGCACACTGCATAGTTTAGTAGAATTGTAAGTTTATTCTGGTTTCTTATTTCTTGTTTATTTTATTATAAGCGGCATGGTTTTTAGTACATTACAAATGACCCTTTATTGGCATATTTGATTTGAATATAATTACAGCTTCCACTGATTCATTTATTCATTTATTACAGCAATTAGGAGGAATAAATAAATATTTCCTCTATATTGTCAATTAATTTACCAGCTTCGATAGTACAATGATAGTGGTCAATAGATGTTAATGTTAACTTCGTAGGAAGGTGAGAAGTCGTCAGTAGAACTATAGGAGTCACAGTGAATAATTTTAGTTGAATTTGCATTGCGATCACTTATTCAATAACCAATCAGAGAGCTGAAAATCGTTTAATAATTGTAGTAAATCTGATTAAGAATTCTTTTAAATTACCGTTTTCAGTTAAAATCATGTCTCTGCTAAAGTTGGCTTGGCTAGCGATAACGGCGCCCGCTCTGGAGGAAGCCACTGGCAAATTGGAGATAGCATTCTTTGAATCCGTCTATCGCATCACTTACGCATTAGGTACCAGATTGTGCTATTATTTCTATCACTTATGTTGCTTCGTTTTGTTTACATACATACATTAAACGCAACACTAGAAAAATCCACAAAATAACGCAGTAACCTGTTTTAGTTTTCTACTAATGTTTGTCCAGTGGTTCGAAGTTGATTATGTGTGCTCGTAAATTTTGTATTGAAAAAGTTTTTTTTATCTATTAAGCTTTGATTTATTATACTGTTACAATTTTTAAATATTCAGCAGTTTATGCTTTGTCACAAAACCTTAAGAAATGCATTTTGTTTAATTTTGTTTTTTTTTCAATAAATGTTGAATATAGTTGTGCTAAGTTAATAATTTGTTTTGTTACTTTGTTTCTAATTCTTATTAATTTAAATATGAGCGTTGCTTTTTTATTTTCTCAGTTCTTTTTTCTTTGTCTAAATGCGCCAATGTGTATTTTCAATGTTGAGTTTTTACTCGGTTTACATTTTTTTTAAAAAGTAATTAAGTAATTTGACCTCCATTTCACCTGATCCGGAAAGGAATCGGTATCAAATGATTATATTTTCAAAATGACTGATCAGCATACGGACTAGATCGCAAAACGACTAACTCTGTAGAAAGACTATAACTTACAATGACTTGGTAGCAAAACAAGTACATGTCGAAATGATCATATCGTTAAATAAATGACATGATACAACGACAAGGTACAATTTAGTTAAAAATTTGCTGTTAAAAAAATACGAATGAAAATAAAGTTATGGAATGGGGTCGAAAGTTACTATAATGAGGTCGGCATTTACACATATATAAATCACTCAATTAGGCGGGTAGATATTAATAACGAAAATTGTGTCTTTATGAAACAACTACGCCAAACTATTTTTATTGTCAGTTAATTTTATTAGATCCTGTATTTTTTAAGTTTATTGAATGTTTGACCACCATAATATTCAATTATTTTTGTGAAGTTACTCCACTAGTTTATTATTATTATTAATACAAAGAACGAAGACTAAGAAAAAATTCGTTCGATCAGACTGAATTCGAACGAACGTCTTCCAGCAAACTGTGTCAGACGCTATGCAAATTAAACCACGGAACGAACTAGCGGACCTTACGAATTATTCTATGTGCTTGTTTGTTGCTTGTTGCAGATTTTTGTTTTTGGTTTTTAACGACTTTATTGCCGTAGCGCCATCTGTGAGAAATATATTTCTTCACTCATTAGATCTAACAAAAAAATCACAAAATATATGATAACACGCTTTCAAAACGATGATATGATAACGATGTCTAAAGTTTCTTTTTTACATATATCGTAATTTCCAGGCTTATCCTTATCCGACAAACAAACCATCCTCTACTACATTTATAGTTCTACGGTCAAATTCATAATTGTGCTTTTCATTGCCGGCGAATTATGGTATCTCCTCAGCATTTCTTCAAG